TCACATGGTACCCAGCAACTGATCTAACTAGACCTAGATACAAAAGGTGAGGCTTCACTGCCAATGGGAAGAGCCCAGGCCTGCAGGATTAGTGGAAACCCATCACAGTGCCCCCCAGATTTAAAAGTAGGTTTTAGAGTAATTTGGGACAGAAGACTTCGCAAGGGGACTCGAGAAATATCAGCCCATATCATGTGACCAGCCAGCCATCTGCTTAATCCACACCCATAGGGGCACAGCATAGCACTGAATATTAGTCTCCATCTGGGAGAATATATTAGCTGGACTTCAACTGACAAAACATTCCTTGAAAGATCAGCAGATGGGGGGTCTTTGGGTATGTTTAGAATACAAAGACTTAGAAGAAATACAAATCAGGTCACTGTTCACCAGACTAAATAACAAAACTCCTAGGAGACAGATGCTTCGCTGCCTCCTGCTGCTTCTCAGCACTTGGACAAAAATACATTCCAGTTGGAGTATTGCGATGTGTACTGCAGAGGAGAAAGTTTGCAAAAGGCTCATGAGTATGTGTGAGAAGCTGCTTGAAGTCCAAGTGCAGGAAGGACGGGATTATGCACAAGGCACTGGGCATGGAGCTAGTTCTCTAGGTACAGAACAAAGATGAGAAGGTAACATTGAAATTAAGGTTCTTGGGTGGCCCCAAGAAATTGAGGCATGGGCCAGAAAGAGAAATAATTTCCAGTGGTAGCAACTAAGCAGTAATAAGGTCAAAGTGCTGAATTTAGATTCTTCACCCAAGTAGTGAGCTGGCCTTACGCAAGGTCTAGTGAGACAGGCATTGCCAGTGTAGAAAGGAAAAATTCCTTCCCATTTCCATGAGCACTTTATCACATGACAGTCTTCCCTTACAGGTAAGAAATGAATTTCTGGGAGCTTGACTAGTTTGCCTCTTTGGACTAGCGAATAGCAAAGCTGCTTCTTAAGCAACCTCGGTGTGCCAATTTAGAATTTAGTGTTTTCTCCATTGTACTAAGCTCTCTTCTGCCATGATGTTCTGGTGAGTGAGTTTCAACCACTAATCCTTGGAAACTCGGAGCAGTGGCTTGGTATTGCTTTCTCCTCAGCTGCCCCATCCTGTCTAGACCTGCAGGCCAGATGGAGAAGAGCATCCATGAGCTTGTCCATCTTGATGTTTCATCTGTCACTATTTCTTCCTGTGAACAGAATCTAGTCTCATTAAGGGGAGTAAGATAGCTTTAGTGTTTGAGCTCAGAAATGGCTGGTTCCTTTTCCTGTGCCCTTCTTTGATTAAACCCTCCAATATTTCCCATTTGAAAGGTGTCATTACATCACACAGAGCTTAGGTTTGAGTCAGGAAGCTTAGGCCTGAATCCTAGCACTATTAATTATTAGCTGTCTTAACGCTCTGAACTACTTTATTGTAAATATAAATTTAAAATTACTATCTTTTTGTCCTATGAGAATTAAATAAGATAAAATATATTTAATGTTTGAAACAGTACCAAACACTTAAGTTGTATAATAAATGATAGTTATTATTGCCTACCAAATTGTAGTCCCAATTCTTTAGCAAGACACTTGAGGCCCCTCCCAGCATGACCCTTCCTCCTGTCTCACACTCCTGCAAGCTCAGCCCTTCCCAGGATTAGAGATTCCTGCAGATCCCTGTGTTCGTGCTTCCTGGACTCATGGAGGAAGCCTTGACACTTAGAGTGAAGGGCTCTTCAAATCCTGATGTCCCACTCTGCCCCATGGAAGAAGAGTGAGTTCTTAGCAGAAATCAATTTAAGTGTGTGTGTCCTTGGAGAAAAGGAGCTGGGAACCAGAGAACAAGATGACAGTGAATGACAAATGATTACACATGACAGATCTGGAGGGCAACTTGACAACTGAGCTGGAAATTTCTTGTCTTTTCTGATGAGACATAAGAGAAATGTTGTTGTTTGTTTTCCCCCCCTCTTCTGGAGAGCAGCCAGGAACTTACTAGATAAGTAGGAAATAAGTGTTAAAATGTGTGTCCCCACTGAGTCCCAATTTAGGTGGTATCAGTACATCCTAGTATGTGGCATTATCCTCAAATCTTATCATTAGAGTCAATTATTAAACCTGTCAAAATTCCATTAATTACTAGGCAATATGAAAAATTATAGTATTATCAAATTATTATTTAGGTGACTCATAACACATGAATTATTTCTTAAAGAGTATGCTTCAATTAAAGTGCTCAAAGAGTTTGTTCTCTTAGCTGGGTGAAACACCTCCATTGCAACTTGTTGGCTTCCATAATGGATTTCGAAGAGGTGCTTTAGTTTAGTCCATGTGTAAATTATATTTTAATTAATGAAAAAATGTTGAGGCTTTTCATGACTCTGGCTTTGTTATCTAGCCAATATAGTACTATTCCAATGGCAATTCTCAAGTTGGTGCTAACCCTATCTTAACAAAAGACAGGATGCAAGTATGTTTTCTATAGCATTCAAAATCATAGCTGTTTTTTTTTAATTTGTTTTTTGCTGGGGATTGAACCTAGGGCTTCACACACTACAAAATCATTGCTTTTCAGTGGCTGTTCTGTAGTAAGAGACATTTGAAAGCTGTGCAGAGCAATGATAATCTTTATTTCTCTCTTGCCCATGTTTGCTGCTCCTGATTAAGTCTCTGGGAGTCTGAATGGGACAACCCCCCGCCACCACCACCAGTAGTTTGGTAGACACACTCAGCTCTCAATGTACCAAGGAATCCCCTTTTCCAAAACGGGAGGCAATATAGTGGTTAGAAACCCTTTTTGTTTCATATCATCATATTTTACTAGGATTTGGCAGGGTTGGGGGAGGGTAAGTATAAAGAGCAAATTTTGTCCTTTATCCAGGTGTAAGAAATATTGGGCCTTCCTACCTTAGATGGTTCTAGTGTGGAGCAATTCAAATGCTGCTGAATATAAAGGTCTCTGAGGTATGGGCCTGGGCTGAGCAGGAGGTGTATGGGATCTAGACTAGCTGCCTGGGTATGGGTGCCCCACCCTGCTCCTATATCCTGAGAATGTGAGAGACTCAAGACATGTAGCCAGAGGAAAGAAGAGTGACTTATGTTGTCATTTGGTTAATTTTCAATCAAACAGTTTGTTTCACCCATGGCAGCTTACAAGTACACTTAGTTGTATGTGTATTCACTTGTGGTCTCTTGTCTTATAGATTAGGTAAATTCTAAGATTAACCACCTCATTTGTTCCAGCACCTGGAACAGTGCCTGACATAGGTGAAGGACTCCATAGATGCTTGTTATATGAAAGAATAAAGGTGTGTTTCACTGACCTACTGATGCCCAACCTCGCTTGAGGAGATGCCATTACAACTCAAGAAAGGATATTTCTGTCTTCTGAACATTTGGAGGTTATTACATAAATACTTAAGTTTATAAGGCCTTAAGTTTAATTTCCAGATCTCTCTTCATTTGGCATTTATAGTGAAAATTAATGTATTGTTGAATATGGAATCACTGATGAGATAAAATGGACATTAGAAGTCTGTTTGTGACATATATTGCCCCCCCCCGCCGCAAATCCTAATAAAATATCATGGTTTGGAACAAAAGAAGTTTCTAACCACCCTGTATGCCTCTTGTTTGGGAAACTGGGATTCTTGGTGCCCTTTAACGTCTAGAGCTGAGTGTGTCTACCAAACTGTTGGGGGGCTCTCTGTCTCCTTCAGACTCCCACAGATTTGAGCAGGAGCATCAGTCAGACACAGGCCACAAGTGAAAGATGAAGTCCTTCTAGGCACAGCTACAGACTCTGACTTGAAATGCCTTCAAATGTTTCTGGTCCAGAGCAGGCCTAGCATGACATTTTGTGTGGGACATGAGAAAATTAAGGAAGAAAAAGCAACATGAATAGCGACAAACGGCTAAGACTAAAGCCTGGATTCTGGGCACCCATTCATGGTAGCCAAGCAAGATGGGAAGTCCAGAGATGCATGCTCACCTGTGACTCTGAACTTACCAAGTGATCTTATTCAGGGTTCTTCTTCCAGGGGCTTCAGCTTCCCTTGCAAGTAAGTGGGATTCAGGGATCTTTGTTGAATCTCAAATTCAGTGAATCATTTGACAGAGCCTAGATCCAAAACCTGCTGGTACAGAGCTCATTGGTGGGAGCAGGAGCTACAAGCATGACACACACTTGGGTTCAAGTCTCTGCTCTGCAACTAACCCTCTGAATCTCACCTGTAGAATAAGAGTAAAACCTATGTCCTGACATCGTTAGTAAGTTTAAAAAGATTTTCACTAAAAGTGCCTAGTACCAAAAAGCTAAGACCAAGCTCTTATTTCAAAGATACCAGTTTTGATTTTTGGTTATTATTGCTTTACCACTAGCTTGCAGAGGATTTTTTTTTTCTAAAAGTTGCACATTAAATAACTCACAAGGGACAATATAGCACTTGTCAAAAGGTAAATTTTTTGTGTAACCTTGATAAACATGTTGTCCCCCTCTTATTTAGGGGGAAGTGATGTCAGTCATCTGAGCTTTGGAGAGGGGCCAGAGGAGCACTAAAACAGTGGTTGCAGGTCCCTCTTCAGATGAAGGCCTTTCTAGGTGTAGCTACATACTCTGACTTGAAATGGAGAGAGGGTTTCTAGCCCAGAGTGCTTGCTCTTCTCTAGCCTGCTTGCTTATAAATTCACTTGAAATGGGAAGCTTGAAGACTACTAAGGAAATGAAAACCAGAGTCCACATTTAGGAAAGTTCAATTAAACTAGATTCCATGGGGTAAAGCACAAACCTGGGATCTGGGGAGTTGGAGGCATTTTCACTAGTGCCTGTGAAGGCCTTTGTCCCTGTGGTCTCTTCCCTTTGCTAACCCTATGGACTCAGCAAGTGCCAAGGCTGTGGGTGGGTCTTGTGTGCCTGCTTCTCCAGTGTCTGTCACGGTAAGGGTTTCTCTTCTCCACGGAGTTTTTTTTAACTGTCTTCTTTCTCCCCCTCCCCCTTTAAAACTGCTTTCTGATTGGATCCTCCATAGGAACGCTTTGGGGTAAATATGTTTGATTTTCTTTGAATTAAAAATGGGGAGTGGTTGGAGGAGGAAGAAACTATGGGTGGGAAGGGAGGAGCTGACCCACTGAAAAAGGAGTGGGGAGTTTACCCGAGTGGGGAGTTTCTGTTGATATCCAAAGACCAAAACAAACAAACAAAAAAGTTGCCACACCTTATTGGGAAAGGGCTATTCTTATTGGTTTGGGTAGTATTTGACTCTTATATCATCTCTTTTAAATATGTAGAGAGGTGGTCCTAATAGAGCAAAAGAATTTATAAAATAAACCAGTGACCCTGGATGCTAAGTGATATCAATATGATACTTTTGGATTGCTTATATTTAAGTTTGAATAAAAATGACTTGTAGGTTGTGGTCTTTTAAGACCATTAAGAGAATGTTAAAGTTAATATTCTGGTCAAAATTGGCATGCTTGGTTTAGATTAAATGTCTTCTTATCTTGCCTTCTATGAAGTATGGAGAGGCTATTATCTGAGGGTGGGTATGGCAGAGGGAAATGCAGGTAGGAACTTTTGTAGTTTTCACCTGATATTCTGGGTTCCCTTTCCTCCAATAATTGTTATAATCTGAACCAACATGAGGAGAGCATCAGAGCCCAACCTCACTGTTTAGAGTCTTGTTTTCCACCATCTGCAGGTTTTACAAATTGCAGTTATTTTAATTGAATACAAAGATCTCAGGGGATGAGCAGGAAGGAAAGAGGAATGCAAGTTGACTTATTCATTTCATTCCTAGAAATAAAAAGAAAAGTGTTTTCTCTATTAGCAAACGTTTCTAAGAGGCTGAACAGGGAGGGTCATTAGCTGTAGGGCATCAATAGAAGTGGGCAGGGCCTGCTCCAGCAGGGTGGCTCTGCAGCCTGTGCTAGATACAGAGTGTCTGAAATGGAAGGGACTGTGGGAAAAGCCAGCCACGCAGAGATAATTGAAGTGTGAGACAAGGTCTGGGCAAGAAGCCTGCATGATATACCTTCTCTGGAGCAGGAAGCCTTCCCAGCAAGGGTGTCAGTTCCCTGCAGAGGTGATAAACCTAGACTGAGTCAAGTCCCCTCTTGAACCTGCTATGGAGAGGCACTGGACTAGTCAAGCAGGGAGGCCACGTGGGCCACTGGTCATGCCTCCTAGTTGATGCACCTTCTATCTTCAATGGCCACCATGATAATGAGCAGCATTAGGCTGGCTTTAAGGGGAGGATGTGCTTCAGATGTGTAGAAATGTGGGTGTGTGTTCCTGTATATCTCCCCGGAAGCTCCTTGACTTATGATGGAGTTGTGTCCTGGTAAACCCATCAAAACTTAAAATATTGAAAGTTGGAAGTATATTTAATATATCTAATCTACTGAACATCGTAGTTCAGCAACATAGTTTGTTCATCTATAGAGTATCAGGCCTTTACCCTCCTGATCTTTGTGGCTTGATGGGGAACTGTGTCTGCCCAGCAGTGCAAGAAAGTACTGTACTGTATAACATTAGCCAAGGAAAAATGTCAAAATTTGAAGTACAGTTTCTACTGAATGCATATCACTTTTACAACATGATAAAGTCGAAAAATCATTAAGTTGACCCATTGTAGGTGGGGGACCATCTGTACATGGATGTGCATGTGTGAGTGGATGTGCACAAAGAGGAGTGATTTGAGAATATTCATGAAACATTTTTTTGTGTGTGGAGTTTCTCTGAAGAAGTCAACAATTGACCCAACTGCTGGCTTCTTGACTCCATCTCTCCCCGTTGCCCTGATTTTATTAATTCAGTGGTGTGACTGTCCTTTTTATTTCTCCTCTGGCTGTATGATTCCCTGCGGGCCTCTCTCCTACAGAACCAACAAGGGGCGGGACATCAAGACCATCAAGTCTCTGCGGGTGCTCCGAGTTCTGAGGCCACTGAAAACTATCAAGCGTCTGCCCAAGCTCAAGGTAATGTTTTCAGTTCATTTCTGTACAGTTTCCATCTCCTATCTTCTCTCTCTGGCCATGGCCAGACAGCTTTTGGAGAATTCATTCCAGGTATATTACTTTCTTGTGGGTTCATTTGCCTGAGCTAAAGTTTTAGTTGCAAAGGAAAATAACCTCCAAAGAAATCGATAAGGGGGGCTTCACCTCTAGAGCCCAGACCTGGATAGCATCTTATACTCTCTGGTGTGGCATGTCATCCAAGAAGAAGCCGGTGTGGCTTTGTCCTGGAGCTTCCTGTGTCATTAAAGTGGACCTAGAACACCATAACGCAAGCTGTGGGAGTCCTTTGCTCCTGTTGTGCGAGTCATGCTGGGAGAGGCTCCCTCACCTGGGATATTTCCTTTATTCATAATTTTAGAGGAGAAAAGGATCTTCTATCCCTAACCTTTCACATTTTTGAGGCACAGATAAGTCCATAATGTGTCCAATGACACATTCTGTATTTTTGGCAGATGTAGAAAGAAATGGGGTAAATGAGTTGCCCCTTCTACCCAGACCTAGACTTTAATAGGCATCATACCAGATTCTTCCTTGCCTTGCCCTGTACCCACCTTCATAAGCCTTCCTGCCTCTCAGGGTGTGCTTGACCATTCAGGTTTGCTGGCCTGTTGAACCTGTAGCACTCCCTGGTGCCGCCATGTGCATTGTTGTTGATGGAAGCTAAGGCACCACGGAAGAGAAGTTCTCCTGTCCTGAATCCCTGTGAATTCTTGGCTCCCAACTGGTAGCCTTGCAGTCCTGCTGCTGCCACCCAGGCCACACAGCCAGTGGAACCAGCCTCAATACCAGGGCAAGCCCCATCTTCATGTGCTACACCAGAATGCTTCCCTGTGTCAGATCACCTGGATGAAAATACAGATTCTTGGGCCACCCTAGGATAGTAAAGCCAGGCTGTCTAGAAGAGGAGCTTGGAACTAGGCCTCCTAAACCCCACTCCCCAGGTGACTTTTCAATAGCACAGTCCGAGGACTCTCAATGTGAAAAAAGAATCTACCTGAGTGCCAGGCTCAGCTCAGAGACTTAGGAGCTCTGTGGTCCACAGCAAACAACTTAGTCCTGAACCGTTTTCCAGTCAGAAAATGGAAACGCTTTGTAACACACGTTTAGTGGTGTAGATGAATGAGCTGACATGAGTGGTCCTGCAAGAAAACCCAACAATTCTTCTGGCCTGCCTGGGCCTGTTCTCTCAGAGGACAAAGCTTCACTTTCTCCCTGTCCCAATTCCTGATTCCTTCCGGGTTCTTATAACCTCTGAAGCTCCCTATATTTCCCCCAAAACCCTGTTGATCTCGGAGCTCTGCTGCTTTATTCCCTCTGCTCTACAAAGTAGAGGCAAAACAAGCTAGGTATATCAAAAGCAAAGGATGGTTAGACAGATAGACAGATGGAAGGAAGGAGGAAAGTTCCTTTGGAAAGGCCCAGAACTGCCTGGGCCCAGAGTCTTGAACAGTGTGTGGACTCCCAGCCAGAAACACTTATTTCTCCAAAGGAAGTGGCTTTGTGGCTGCTTTCCTGCCTGCTCCCTGCCTCCTCTGCCTTCCCTTCTGGAGCAGGACCTTCCACACACTCTGTTAGTTTTCCTTTCCCACCAGCACAGCAATTGGCCTGGGCTTGTGCCCATAAGTACCCATTCCTCTGTGCTCCTTGCCCAGGCTGCCTGGGGCCCCAACCATGTTAGCGGCACCCAGGCTCCTGTGAGTCCTGAGGAGCATGCACATGGTTAGAAGAGATTAGTTAACAGGCTGGAGAAGGTGACCCAGTCTTGGTTAATTCCATGAAACAAGAGAGTGCTGTTTCCTGGCTTTGCAGTGATAACCTAAGGGAGACGTGGGTGGCTCTGATGCTTCCACAAGGTTGCGTGTCACTCACATTCCCCGCAGTGCTGAGCTAATTAAACCAGCAGTGCTTTACCCAGTGCTGCGAAGAAGAAACCACACAAATGGGCAACTGGGGCTAGACTCTCTCCAGTGAGCTAAACCTGAAGACCTAGAAAACAGCCTAAATGTGTTGAACTCCCAGGAAATTCCTCACATCTTAGGACCCAGAAGGGAAGACCTGTTATGGTTTAACTGAAGTGCATGTCCCTGGTTCTATCCACCCAGCCTCCCCAGTTTTGGTCCGTGCTGCATCATGTCTGTTGATCTTCATCCCCAATACAACCAGCTTCAAGGCAGAAGATGTTTACATGAAGTGTTGAACATGCTCGGAGCAAATATCTGAACTTATGGCAAAGTACCATTGAAGAGATCAAAGATGAGAATGTGGTATTACAGCATTCTCCATTTAGAAAGGGTGAAAATAAGATGTCAGTATATAAATAAATCTGTAGATGTTACCTCATGTGCATACGGTCAGGGACAGCAATTTAATGGTTAAAATGGGCTGAATTATTTCAAAAATCCAACATTAAACTTCTTTACACTGAGAATCCGACTGGAATCCCCAAACCAACCACCTCCTGATGCTTTCTGTCATCAGGTTTGGGTTTGCTGCTTTGGGTTTGTTTTCAGACTCAGAGCATGTGTTCCTGTCCCAGGTGGCAGTTCCATGCTACCATGACCAACATGGATGCCAGCTCTTAATCCATGAGTGTCACCTCTTAATTCACATCTCTTGGGGTGTTCTCTCAGTGCTGCTGGGTGGTGGTGATGTGGCCACCTCAGCTCTGGGCAGATACATGGGCTATCGAGCTACTCACATACCAGGGCCCTTTGCTGTCCACAGGCAGTGTTCGACTGTGTGGTGACCTCGTTGAAGAATGTCTTCAACATTCTCATCGTCTACAAGCTCTTCATGTTCATCTTTGCTGTCATCGCAGTTCAGCTCTTCAAGGGAAAATTCTTTTATTGCACAGACAGTTCCAAGGACACAGAGAAGGAGTGCATGTGAGTTCCAACAGCACATACCACTTACTTTTTGCTATAGCATGTCCTGATGAGACCTTCACCATCCTCCACAGTGGACTCTGTCTCCTTTCTCTCAGTTGAAAGACAAAATAGGAAATAGGAAGTTGGTTAACTATTCTGAGTACCTCTTGTGTGAAACATGGAAAAAGACATTTTGCATTATTTTTCATTTTAAATCCTTTTAATGATCTGTTGATATGGGTTTTATTTGCATATTATGGATGTAGAAACAGATTCAAAATTTAAGTTGCTCAGCGTTACTAGTAAAGGGTTAGAATTTAATCCCAAATCTGTTGGCATCCTGTTTTTATCCCATGGTAACACCCGCCTTTAATAAAATTCCTTCTTTGCATTTCTGTTGTGAAGATTGTTCCCTCACATTCTTGAAGTCTGTAGAATCTTCCAATTCTTTCATGAGTTACAGTGAAAACGACCTATTTTATTTCTACTCTGGTTTTAGAGGCAATTACGTAGACCATGAAAAAAACAAGATGGAGGTGAAGGGCCGGGAATGGAAGCGCCATGAATTCCACTACGACAACATCATCTGGGCCCTGCTGACCCTATTCACGGTCTCCACAGGGGAAGGATGGCCTCAGTGAGTGAGGAGCTGCAGTTGGTTCAGTTGAGAAGCTGACTCAAGATGAACAAGTCTAATCCTTTGTTATTGTACCAGGGAAAGGAAGTGGTTATGAGTGGGTGAGATAAGAGAGGAAGAAGGAAAATCCTTCAGGCAGAGAGGTTGGGACGGCAAAGCCAGGGAAATAGTTGAAACTCTTGTTTTAGCCAATTATTAAGGAATTGAGTGGAGACATTTGACTTCTGTAGAATCGATGAGTTTTCATCAGCTCTCCACTGTCAGGAGACTTCCTGGGGCCTATTTTAGACAGTTTATCTACCAAGCTGGCTTTGAACTTGGGAGCCTGAGGATGGAGGAATAGGATGAATTAGCAGAATCCACAGACTCTTCTTGTGATCTTCTGAAGACGACGACAACAGGGCTGGTTCTTATGCTGCCCTTAGCTCAAGGCTAGTTTCTCAGAGACTTGTGCTACTTCGTGGTGACAGAATACTCTGGTTGTCAGGAAAAAGTCAAATGGCAATCCAGGAGCCTTCTGATATTGAATATGACAACCTAAACCTTAAAATGATGTCATTCTGTTCATCAACATTTCCAGACATTGGAAGTAAATGGAAAAGTATTAGAAAAAGTAATGCGGTAGGGTGCCCATGAGTCTTCAACTTGCTTAATGACCCCCCCAAAAAAAATTAATGGAGGAACTACAAAGCCAAATAGTTCCAGTAAAAAATACAAAAGGCAGAGCATCTCCTGATGAAGCCCAGACTGTCATCCAAACATTAGTGTGCCCTTTTTCTGTCCCCACAGGGTTCTGCAGCATTCCGTAGACGTGACGGAAGAAGACCGAGGCCCAAGCCGCAGCAACCGCATGGAGATGTCCATCTTTTACGTGGTCTACTTTGTGGTCTTCCCTTTCTTCTTTGTCAATATCTTTGTGGCTCTCATCATCATCACCTTCCAGGAACAGGGAGACAAGATGATGGAGGAGTGCAGCCTGGAGAAGAACGAGGTAACCACAGGTTGTCTGCAGCCCAGCACGGCAGGGTCTTCAGACAGAATTCTCTGGACCATCAGGATTGGAAGGAGAGATCGAACTTTTCTAACTTTATTATGGGGTTATAGAGAAGATCATTAAATAAACAGTCTAGAAGGAAAAGATGTTTGCCATAATTACGATATTAAGATATTTGCTTATCTGACTGGTATGTATTTGCTCTAAGGGTAGGAACATGTCTCATGACTACTTTTCCAGAAGTAAGCATAATTTGGGCACATTGTGGGGTTTCATAGTTGGTGGTGATGTTGCTTCACAATAGAACTGAACTAGAATCTGTCAGGGACTATAAAATGTGATGCGTAGGCAGATATAGGTTGAGTATTTCTAATCCAAATGTCCCCAAAACTGCAGAACTCAAAACTTCTTGCAGCAAAGTGATTGTATAGGTGGGAAATTTCGCACCACAAAATGTTGAAAATTATGACCAATATTATATAAAATTAACTTCAGACTATGTGTCTGTGGCATCTAAAGGTTTGGTCATAGGTATATGCAAATATTCCAAAATCAGAAAAAATCTGAAATCCCAGACACTTCTGGTCTCATGAATTTTATTTGATTTTGGGTAGCAGGAATTGAATCTAGGGGTGCTTAACCACATCTCCAATCCTTTTTTTTAATTTTGTGACAGTGGCTGAGGCTGGCCTTTAACATGCAATCCTCCTGTCTCAGCCTCCCAAGTCACTGGGATTGCGGGTGTGCAGCCGCGTGCCTGGCCTGAATTTTAGACAGGAGATTCTCAACCTGTAGAACTTCACTTCTAAGGGCATCAGAGAATGCTTTCTGCCTACATATCTCACCTACACACTGTATAAAAGGACTTTAGTGACAACCACTAAGTCCCGCCCCATGTGACAGAATGCCTCCAGTTTTACAAACACATTTCAGATGACCTCTTGCCTGTAGTTTTGTCCAGACGATCCCTGTTGCTGTTTTTGCTTTCCTGTCATCCTGCCCTTTTTATCCCTGGGTTGTCCTCTGCTAACTGGCTGACAGAGAGGCCACCACTGGACAAGACTTAGGGGCTCTGAGCGTAGACTAATAACTGATCTTTCTGCAGCGGGCATGCATCGACTTCGCCATCAGCGCCAAGCCTCTCACCCGCTACATGCCACAGAACAGGCACACCTTCCAGTATCGCGTGTGGCACTTCGTGGTGTCTCCTTCCTTTGAGTACACCATCATGGCTATGATCGCCTTGAACACTGTGGTGCTGATGATGAAGGTGAGAGGAAGGTGAAGCCAGAGACTTCTCCTCCCCAAAGATCCGTGCATGCACAGAGGCCCCAGGAAAGCACCTAGCATAGCAGCCCGTGCCCCTTGACCCATGCTTCCACGGTGGGGTCTCGTTTTAATCTCACCTCATTTGACATCCCAGCCTCTTGGACTCCAGGGCTCCATTGGCAAATGCAGTGCCACATACCCTAGTGGTCCCAGGGCTTCTAAGACCTTGTGGTAGGACTCGGCCGCCAACCAGGGTGGAAAATGCCCTTCAGACCCTGAGGGCTTTAAAGGCGAGAGATTGCTCCTACTTAACCCTAACTGGTAAAGCACCCAACTATGGGGAGTGATTCTGCCTGCCACCTTCATCTCTAGGCAGACCTCTGGTTTTGCCATGAAGAGTCCGGGAGGACACAGTATTGTTTTGCTCCGTTTGCTGCACGGGATATGTAATTCTCTCCAGCACTCGATGTCTGATGTCTGTCTCATTCCCTGAACCATGCACAGTTTTCCCCAAAGGCAGGTTGAGAGAGGGCTGGCCTCAGTGACATGCGTGAACCCCCACGTTAAGGCTTTGACTCTGTCTGTCTTCTCTCCTCGGCAGTACTACTCTGCTCCCTGTACCTATGAACTGGCCCTCAAGTACTTGAATATCGCCTTCACCATGGTGTTTTCCCTGGAATGTGTCCTAAAGATCATCGCTTTTGGCTTCTTGGTATGTCATTCAATCAATCCCAGCATTAGGCTTGTCTTCTCTTCCATTTGGGGACATTCCCAGAGTTTGTTGGAAGAGGGGTTGTTACTGCCATTCCAGAAATTGTTCATACACCTGCCCACCGAATTGTGGGCTCATTTTGACTCCTCAGTTAAACTGCCTAAGAGATGATGGGGGGGGGCAGTGTGGGGGACAGGGCCAGGCAGGCATCTCCCCAGGTCCATATCTACCTAACCATCTGCCCTGGCCCTGTCAAATTCTGTCAGCAGACAAAGGGGGGGGCATTTGGGTTTTACTAGAACTGCAACTTATGTATAATGATGCATGGCGAAGATTAGACTAATAAACCTTGAGTGCTTATTTACTGGCAGAAGGTATAAGAATTTTATGACTCAAATGGAAAAATACCTGCCCTTCATAACCCCTTACATAGCAAATAACAGATTTACCTATTAGTCCTCCTCTCAGTAGCATAAAGAGTAATTTCTGCCAAAGAAGATAAATGCTTATTACTTAGGCTTACAAAGGCCAAGGTCCTTTGAAGGGTGGATGGGGGGAGGGTTCTAGAATTGAGTTTGGGGGAGATGGCAGTGAATTTTTCTGTCATGAGCTGTCCTTTTACTTCTCCTCAACTACTAATTATAATTGTTTGTCAAATTCTTGCATCTGCTCTTAAGTGTTAAGAAAACCTGGTCTTTGCTTCCTTGTCCTTTAAACAAAATACCCCCCCACCTCCCCATGCTCCACCCCGCCCTTCAGCATGCACTAGTGCAGTGGGATGCAGATAACCCACTTGACAGCTGCCTCACCTTATTTAGGGTGTGGGCTACCAATTCAAGTTCAAGTTCACTGTGTATATGGTTTTCCCTGCAAGAAAGAAAACTTCACTGGGGATCTGAATAAGTGTGTGTGTGGTAGCAGCTTTAATAGGGACTCTGGGCTGGGTTTGCTTGTTGTCGGTGCTGAATGTGGGGGCTGCTTTTGGTCTCTTTCTGGTTCATTGAAAAACTATTAATTGGGTTGTTCAGGGAGGAAAGTTGAAGGAAGCCCCTTGGGGGGCTGCACTGTGGTGTACTTGACTCCCTTATTGAGTGTTTTGAGAATCGGGAAAATGAAAAGTTAAAAAGGGACTATTACCAGCGAAGATGCCCTTATGGAACAGTGTGACCCCAAGTAGGGTGAACTGAGAGAAGCCAGCACCGCAACAGGGAGAGTTTCTCTATGCATCTTCATGACTTGGATGTAGTATTGACAGTGTCTGTGATTTAGTCCCCAATTATGTGTCTAATTATGGTTAATGCTGAATACATACTCACAGGCTTAATTTGAGGATTTGGCCCTGAGACCCGCCTCCTTCCCACCCTCACCCCTGTGTTCTCATTCATGGTGTAGAGGCATTCATTCATGCTGCGAAGGCACCACTAGTCCTGATTAACCTTTTATATTGATAGAGTACCCTGGGTTTTCAGAATACCCCAATATACATTATGTTATCAGATCTTCTCAGTGAGTCTGAAATGGACATGGCAGATCTCATCATTACGGCCATATTATTATTGTTTTAATTAGGAAATCAAAATTCAAAAAGTTGCCTACATTTTTTTAAAGATTACATGATAAAATGTTGTAGAATTGGAAAGCAAAGTGGAAATAAAAAAAGGAAGGGAACAAGAAAAAGAGGGAAAGAAGTGACATACCTTATAACTGAATAAAATTAATACATGTTCATTTTATCTTCAAAACAGCTATGTTAGATAGGCATTATTATTATATCTATCATAAATAGAAATGTCATTATGAGCATAGCACATAACTGTACTATTTTTCCCCCCTCCTATTGAGAACTTTCACCTTTTCACTTAAAGGAAACATTTTACAATTTCTCTTTGGTATGTCTGTATTGCCAATATCACTACTTTTGTGTTCTGGGGCCATTACTAAATGAAACAAGGGTTATTGAATACAAGCACTGTAGGTGATCTGATAACTAGACAGCAACTATGTGACTAATGGATTCCATATATAGTATGGGTACACTGGACAAAGGAAATGATTCATGATCTTGGTGGGGTGGAGTGGAATGGTATAATATTTCATCATGCAACTTGGAATGCGGTGCAATGTGAAACTTATAAATTGTTTATTTCTTGAATTTCCCACTGAATATTTTTGGACTACAAGTAACTGAAATAGTGGAAAATAAAACCACAGATGTGGGGGGGAGTACTGTACTACACTCTCCTATTTTATGCTACAGTATGCTCTTCTGTATTGTAAAACATCCTCAACTGGAACCCAAGTCTTCTGGTCCTCTGTGAACCAAGAATTAGGAGGTTTAACCAGGTTGGGGAATAGGAGAACCCTAAAAATTGAGAAATTCAGAGACCCGACTTGGCTCCACCATAATGAACTTAGTAGCCTAATGGAAAACAAGCTTCCCAATGAAGCTGTGTGCATCAGTTTCTCCATATGCCCTGGAGGTGCATATGCCTTTCAAACTGAATCAGCCTGGTTTCTCACACACACAAGCAAGGATAGCAGAAGCTACCTTATTGCCTTAGATACATGGGTGCTCGTTAAATGTAACTGCTCTCTCTGCACACTCCTTTTCTCTCTATTGCCTCTTTCTTCATTTCCCTTACCAATCCTTCTACTCAGTACTTTTTGGATATGGGGCATTTATCACCACCTACTTACAAGATCCATGAAAATAATAAATGAGTCGAAAGAATTCCAAGGGCCTGGAACATATAGTAGGGACTCATTGATGGCAGTCATGAGACTGGGATGGGGGACATTTCTGCAGTTCCCTGAGAATCTCTTAAGGGAGGTGCTGCCCAGGGTCAAGCATGACCTTTTCAGAGACCTAAGTTTCCTATTGTAAGGAACATAATCCAAGGCCTGTTCACTTGAGCTAAGAGGATCAATGTACAGTCCTGTCTGATTAAGGGGAGGGTTGTCTGCTTGGTGGATCTTCCGGATCCTTTCTGCCTCCTTCAGACCACTTATTTTATTGCTGCTTTTTTAAAAAAAAAAAAAAAAAAAAAAAAAAAAAACCTTGGATATCCTCAAAAAGTGTAACAGAAGAAGAGGGGGAGATGAAGTCTATTCATCTTACTGTCAATGAGTTGTTAATTCAAAAGGGCTAAATGGAATTAGAAGATTGTTTTTTGGCATGTCTGTGACCTGTAGTCACTTATAATGTAGGAGGTGGCTTTTTTTTTTTAATTGATGAAAGTCAGAACTATATTTCTTATAGGGTCACTTGATATAATATTGACAATTTGAAAGTGATGGTTGTGTAATGGTTTTAAATGGTCTCACAGTTGTATATTTATTTCCAAACTCACCAAATTGTGCACATTAAATATGGTGCTTTTAATTTGTGAATCATACCTCGGTTATTTAAAAATAAATATTTGCTAAAAAATTCTTGCTTTTAGTGACAATTTCAAATAAGGTCTTCAAATAGTGATGGAACTGCTTTCCAAAGGAGAAATTCTCAAATTAGTTTAAAAAAAAAAAGAAATAGAATTTCTGGTTAGAAATAGGAAACTGAAGCCAAAGTTAGAATGAACTTGTGCATGAATTGACAAGTTTTAATTCTAAGTGACATAGTTATATAATGAAAGATGCCTTTTTCCCTCCCTCGCTTTTTTATCTCTTTTCCTTTTTCTAATGTTCCTACAACTGATTTCATTTGGCAGAACTATTTCCGAGACACTTGGAATATCTTTGACTTCATCACCGTGATTGGCAGCATCACAGAAATTATCCTGACTGACAGCAAGGTGAATGGCTCAGGAGACCCTTGTCTTTAAGATTGGCCCTGGAATAGCATTAAAAAAAATCTCTTCACATTCAGTCCATTTGTAACCCACCAAATAAACTGTGTCCCCCTCTAATTGTTGGGAGTTCACTCCTTCCCTCCTGAGCACTAGCTAGGAAATGAAAACTTTGGAGTGGTGCTGGATCTCATGGAAATCTTTCCTTGCTTGAATCAAACAGCAGAAACCTAGTGGAGTAAGTGGAACAGGGGATGCCAGAAGAAAGCTGGTATGAAGAGTTCTGCTAGAGTCTCAAAAAAAGCACACTGTCTGTGCCCTCTAAAGCCTTAGACTTGAATAGATTCCCCAAATTTTCTCATTCTAAAGAAGACTTGGAAAGCTCCTTGTAACTCTCTGAATACTGTAGGAATTACTAGATCTGCACTTTTAGCACCTAAGTGCAGACTTCAGACCACTTGGTAGAGGCTAGGGAGGCCAGTTTTGACTCAAGTAGGCAGGGATGATTCCCTTGTCCTTCTACGTGGGAGCAGAGGGCAGGCCTGGGAAGGCTTAGAGAGATGGACTCACTGATTGGCCTATCAGCTGCAGCTGGGGTTAACAAAGACTGTGTTCTATTTTGTGGTCTAAATGAGGAATAAATACACAAATACTAGTGCTTAGATTTTTCTAAATGACCATAATGTCCCTAATTGCATGTTTCCTTTTGGTCCACCAGCTGGTGAACACCAGTGGCTTCAATATGAGCTTTCTGAAGCTTTTCCGTGCTGCCCGCCTCATAAAGCTTCTGCGACAGGGCTACACAATACGCATTTTACTTTGGACCTTTGTGCAGTCCTTTAAGGTAAGAGGTACCCAGGTGCCTTCTGACAATTGATCCAGATGGCACTGGGAACCAACATCATTCCCTTTGTCCCTTTACCTCTGGGAAGGTGAAGTTAGTAAAATGTGTGTGATTGGAAGCATTAATAAATACTGTAGTTCTTCATTCAGAGCCCAGGTTGTCTGGACAGGTAGTGATCAGCTCATGTTTACTGGGTAGACTTGTATTTTAAAAAGTCACTTTGCCTTTGTAACCTAGGCCTCCTCTCTCCCTGCAGAAGCTGTGTACATACTTTATGAAGTAGGTTCTCCTCTTAAAGAGGTATTTAAGTATTTTGGTATTTGGTATTCCAAATTGCCCTGAGCAATCCCACTCAAGCACAGAGCCAGGCACCTGTAGTCAGATGTCTTCTGTATTTCCAGGGACTTGTCAGTGATTTTATTTCACATAATAGTTTTTCAGAGGACTCATTGAGTGTGTCTCCTAGCAAGATGATTCATGCTCAGTTCCCCTACATCTTCATTGGTGTCTATTTCCTGAGCCACTGAATGTGTAGTGTGCTAATAGTTACCTCTGTGACCTACAAATATGAATGTCTGAGCAAGTTAATACAGGGAGTTTCTTTTATACAATCCTGTGGGGCCATACAGCAGTGTATCTGTAATGAATGCAAATTAAAAATCAACACCCGAGACCCACTTAAGTGGTGGGAACTTCCAGTAAAAGAAGTTTTTCAAACATATTTATCTTTGAGCTCTAGCAAATACCGTAAATGAGTGGCTTTTAAGGTTTTGGAGGCTTATGTATCATTCAAATGGCTTTTCCTTGTGCTGAAAAAAACAAAGTTTTTAATTGATGTGTTTAAAATTAAGTTTGATGAAATTGATTCAAAAATGAGAAATCGTGAATTTGCCAAATTGTCTTATTTTAATTATATAGCTTAATTAAAAGACTAAAGAGGACAGGCCAGTAAATTTGTGGTTTGTCATCATTTAGAAAGGGAGTTCACCCCACATCATAATTACTGATTTACTTTTTCATCACAGACCTTGAAGTCTGAGATGTGAGAACAATTGTAAGGATGTTGAGGCTCCTAGGGACAACCTTAATGTTTTTATCATGTCCAGAGTAATTGTTAGGAATGATAACTCCCACAGAGTCCTCATCTCAGTGAAAACTATTTTTCCAATGTGAAATGATGGAGGAGAAACCTAAAACCTTTGCAAGAATCCACCATCTGAGTCTTGGGTGATGCTTTTAAAGCTGGTTTTTTTATTTTCAGAGGATTGTCCAACAAGCTTCAGTTGTTAGTGAGGATCTTAAGAAGTATGTGTCATCCTGTCATTTTTATCACAATTGCCATGTCTGTGGGAAGCTGCACTATTAAGGTTAAAGAAAGGGATGTCAAAAATTGATGGCCAAATGGTGGCCTATTCCAGTGAATACTACAGAGATCAGGTGAACCTGCCTCCAGGTGACAGTGTTATAGATAGGCATTTTCCTTTTCTGAACAGCTCTAGGACACAGAAGCCAATTTCTTAAAAGTCAGATTAACAAAGCCTGCTTTTGCAGATACAAAGTCGAGAGCAGCATAAAACGAGCAGTCACCTGGACCTCCCCACCCAGCCCAAAGCATCGTCCAGTTCTCCAGCTCTCCCCTCCTCAGAAGTTCTTCCTACTTTTCCCTTATTCTGTGTTGGAATTTTTGGCTTGACAAAAAAGGAGAACAGATGGAATCATTGGTCTTCTCCCTAAAGCTGGGAATAGGGAGAGATGAACTAGGACTAGAGACTTTGAGTGGAGAAGGTAGAACAAGGACAGGAAGTAAAGATAGAAGGCAGCAGTGCTCCAGGTGGCCAGAAACCCAGCCTCCTTACTCTCAGCCCCAGCGACGGAGTTTTCCCAGTGTCCCTGGGCACCACACCCCTGGGTTACCTTAGTCTTGGGAGTCCAGACTTCACTGGAGAAGGGGATTCTCCCACCAGCTTTTAGCTGCATTTTAATTTTCTCCTCTATTCAAGTTGTAAATAGTCTCATGGCGCTCCTCATTTCATTAGCTCTGTTGAAAAGCTCTGCTCTGCTCTAGCAGCCTGAAAGCCTTCAGCAGCTCTCCGGGGACTCCTGGTGTAACACTCAAGACAGGGTGGAGACTCACAGTAGCTGTATCTGCCAGGAAGGGTAATAGATGGTAAAGAAGAAGGACTTCATGTCAGTGTGGAGATCACCCTAGAAGTAGTGGCCACTCCTGGTCCCAAATTCAAACTGCCTGTGAGTGGACCCTCCCCCACCTACAAAGAATGGCTCTTTGCCTTATATCCCCTTCATCTGCCCTCCACCCCCCTATGGAAATGCTGTCATCCCAAAGTGTCAATAAGCACACACAATATGGAATCTTCTTGCGCTGTGTGGATTTATGGCAGGGTATTGTCATGGCTAAGGCTTTTGGGAATTTTGCTTGAAGCAAAATGAAACATCAGGAGGTTTAAGCACTGATAATGATGTTTCCTCAGAAGATGAAAGAACCTTTTAGGAACAGACCAACAAATGAGACCCTAGTCATTTTAATGTGCTTCCAGATTATTCATTAGGCTCCACACCAAGCTTGGGAAGGAGAAATACAGAGATTTGGAAACTGAAGCTAGATGCTTGCTATGTCATCTGCATCACAGTTGCTCAGATTATTAATCTGCATGCCAATTGAGATGAATTCTGAGCCCAGGAAGTCTTCTGAACTCTCCTTGGACACACATTTCTTAAGATCCTCACTAACAACTGAATCTGAATTCGAAGTTTCTGGATGAGTGAATATTCTTTAAAGAAGGTCAAGCCTCCCTATAGTCAGCTGTTTACATTTCAGTTGGAGGACAGGGACATCTAAAAAAGTGTTGCACCAAACTAACAGTTTCAAGGAATAGAGTCCCAGTCCTCTGTTTAAATTAGCCTCAGGGCAAGTAACTGCAGACTGTTGAGTATGGAAGCTGCCTTTGATTAATGATCATCTTTCCTTCCAGGCCCTGCCCTATGTCTGCCTTTTGATTGCCATGCTTTTCTTCATTTATGCCATCATCGGGATGCAGGTGAGCTGGTGCATCAGGGCCTGGTGGGGGACCACTGTTGCCTAGATTGTCTCTGACACAGCAATCTGAGTGTTCAGGATTGAAGATGCTTTGAACCACATCTTGTTATCTGGATGGTCTGTTCAGGAACATCTGAGGTTATCAAATCATGGTGCTGGCTGATAAGCAGTTAGATATCTGGGTGCAACAGAAGTAAAGCAAAGATAGTGCCATTGTTCTCAGCCAGAGGGATTCCCCAAAGAGACTAAAGAGGAAGGGGTACATCTTATCATCCATTTCTCAGGATTTCTGGTATTTAGACTTGACCCAAAAGAAAGTTGGATATTGGTTCCTCTTATATGTGGTGCATCTGAGCTAAGTCTTAACTGGCTGAAATTTATGCCTTAAGACTCATCATTGTGAATAACTTGAGAGTTCCTGGCAGCTATCCATCTTGGGGAGACTCAAGGGCCACATTCTGACTGATTCCTGTCAGAGGGCCATACAACCTGCTGGACAGTTCCCATGGTTCACCACTTCCTCCCCAGTTTCAGAACTTGAGAAGCAGATCACATTCCCATTCTAGGTATTTATGCAAGTAACTAGAGGCTGCTGAGCTGGAAGAGGCCAAAGCTCTTTCGAAGGCAATAGTCATCTGTGGTATGTAAACTACAATGTAAATAGCCAGCAGTACATCCTCTGGACCTGACAGGATACCCGGCCTTTTTGCTTGTCTCAGAAGGGCTAGCTCTCTGGCTTGTAGAGATCCCGATCAAACCCCAGCAGAGGACTTCAGCTGGCAGTCTCCTACAGCCAGGCATCTGGCTGCCTTTGGACTGCCAGCTGCCTTTTCAGAGTGTTTGCCACCTGGAGCTGCTGTCCTGTCTCCCAAGTTGGCTGCATCAGTAACCCTTTCCAGAGCATCTCTTCTTTATGCTCCTCTGACTTTACTTCTTTCTTCTTTTAACACTTTTACTGGAGAATTTTGTTTTCCAGAAATGTCAAGCATCAGAATGAGACTTGGTTGAGAACCTAGTGAGTTCTCTTTGCTGAGGATATTTCAGTAAAGATGTAGTGAAGATGTCAGCAGTGTAGAAATAAATTCCTGCTCAAGTTTAAGACTGACTTGATAATATCTATTAGGTTCCTCCTAACTCCTCAAAATTGGATCCTAGGATTTAAATATTCTTGAACAGCCAAATGAAATGTGATTCAATCAAGTTCTGTTTGTCCATGTTCAAAATAGCTCTTACCCCTTTTTATCTTTAAGCCACAGTGAGCAAACTAACACTATCTCCAATTCTGACATGTTATGGATGATCCTGATCCTGATGACCATGCTATTTCCCTTTCCTTGAGTTCCTCAGTGTGCCATACACAGTGGCAAATGTATGGGTACATGTATACGTGATTATCTAGAGAGAGGGCAATGAGAGTACAAGAGCTAACTAATGTGTTCTGAGTGATGTGAAAACATAGGTGAGTGTCACCTCCATTGACAGTTATGGTGGTTAAGTAGCTTATAGATTGTTCAAGTTCTCAGATAGTAAGTAGAAGAACTGAGACTTGAACTCAGCTCTGTCTGCTCCACATCCCATATTCTTAGCTCTGTACCATATCACATCCCACCAGACAGGTAAACACAAATATTTAATCTTTTAGTGGGAGGTAGGAGCTATTATGAAATTGTGGTCTTTACATTAAACTTCAATGTCAACCTCCTTAGACCTCTCCAAAAAGTAAGAACTCTTTTTGTTCTCCAGAGACTTGAGTATCATTTGTACCATAGACTTACCTTTGATAGGCTGTTACCATTGCTGGTCCATGACAGAGACTCAGCACCAGGCACCTCTGCATTTGGTACTCGAGAGACTGTATCAGACATAGTTACCACAAAACAGAGGTCTACACAAATAGACAAAAGGGTGGGAGAGAAACTTTTAGATTGACATAAATTTGCAACTAGATGTATCCATGAGAAGAACTGTTATTCCAAAGTTTCCAAGGCTTCTTGGGAGAAGAGACCTTTGTTGAAGAATCTGAAGATGTTAGGAAGGAGTGATGAGCTGCATGTGAGAAGGATCCCATGGTGACAGGCTGTTAGAAGTGAGGTGAGGTTTTCAGCCTTAGCTCTGCCACTGACCAGTGGGCAAACTTGATCAAGCCACTGAATGTCTCTGGGCTTGGACTCCTTCACCAATACAGGGGAGAAGTTGCTTAGATCCTCCCCCATGTCTTTTTCTGTCAAGTTCTCTGACTCTAAGTGTCAATGGACTTAAGGCTATACTCATGAAATTTGCTGAAGCAACCCTTCTTTCTCTTCCAGGTCCTTTTGACGTAGGAGATTTGGTTTAGACTAAGCAAAGACTAAGTGAAAAGAAATTTTAAAGACTACCTTTGTAATCATACATTTTTGATTTGAAAAATATCTTAGAAAAAATTCAAAAGAGCTGTGGTTTCTTTGACTGTTGCACATAAAGCATGTGCAAAATTGCAGTGTGCCTTTCTACAATTCTTGATGGGATGGATATTTGATAAAGCAATTAATGATGATTCTGTGGGAACCATCATAGGAGGACACAAAGCCCTGTAAGTTGTGTATATTTGATGGATCAAGGATAACCCATTGATTCTGAGCCAGGAGAATGAAAAGAAAAGGAGATTTGAAGGGGACAAGAACATAAGACAGTTTCCTCCTGGAGTGTCCAGAACTAATTAGATTTGATCACATGGGTGGGATTTTTTTTTTAAAATGCAATTATTTCTCTCTGAAGGCCCTCCACCTTCCTTCCCTCTTTCCATTCTCCCCTCTGCTGCCTCATTTGTCACCTCAACTCTCCCTGAGACAAGTAGTATTTGGGTTTTGAAAAACAGCTTTGAGAACAAATTCCCAAAGCAGGTGTCAGTGGGAGTTACTTGAGCAAAATAGCTGGGGGCAGAGATTGTTCCTCAATTGCACATTCTAAAAACTGTTAGGAGAAAAATGTGTTCCATTTAGCAGACATTGGATATACTAAAGCATGCTAAATGTGGGCTAAAAATTGTCTCAGATGGCTGGAAAAGTGACCCAGGAAGCCCTCAGTTGTACCAACACTGACTCGTGAGGATAAATCCTATAATCTGAAACGTAGTGGAGGAAGACTGTGTGTGTGTGTGTGTGTGTGTGTGTGTGTGTGTGTGTGTGTGTACACGCACGCCAGCCTTCTCAGAGAAGGCTTGGGTTCGACCTTGCTCTGGGGTGCCTATGGATAAATATCTTTGGGAGGTGGGTACCTCTTTTCTCATGAATTTTCACAGTGACCACAGTCCAGCAGCAGATTAGCAAACTTCCCTCTACTACTAAAACTGGCTATCGTTTCCATTTTTGTTTTCTTAAGTGTCCAGTTGTCCTGACTTTCTCCATGCCATTGTCTCAACTTTGTTTCAGCTTTGGCATAAATGGTCACTTTGGGATAGAATGTGGGTCTCTGTAGGATGCTGTGTTTATGCATGTGAATATGTGCATGTCCATTCTTACGGATTTAGATTACTGAAATATATTTCTATCCAGAGGGTCTAGTTTATATGTATGGCAGACAGATATGACCCTCTCTGATATAAATTGCTTGCAAATTCCAGAGCAGCATCTGCCCAAACCATAAATGTTATTTTTGGCAAATATAGATATTCCCATCATGAACCAGAGAGAGAAAGAAAGGGTGACCTTCCCTGTTCTCCTGTTGTGGGATAAAGTCTTTGACAGACGGCTCGAGTACTGTGGTGACAGGTAACAAGGGAATAAAAAGACTAAATCAGGTGTGGGAGGAACTCCATGCAGGCACAGTGATCTTTCAATTACAAGACTTTGTGCTCTCTGCTCGGCCCGGCACTTCCAATGTTAGCCGCCTTCAGTGCACTGCTGTGGTGGGGAAGACCAAGAGTCGTCCTACCAGGCTAAAAGTATAGTGTCCCCAGCTCTTTGGGTCTGAGCCATCTGCTTCCGGGATATGCCATCAGGAAGTCATACAGGTAGCTTCACGCTCCCCTAGGTGCATCTGATGGCCCATGCTGGACAGGGAGTTCAGCGATGCTCATTGCTTTCTGTTGTTTTTCTCCCCAAGGTATTTGGAAATATAAAATTAGACGAGGAGAGTCACATCAATCGGCACAACAACTTCCGGAGTTTCTTTGGGTCCCTCATGCTACTCTTCAGGTACCTGGATACGTAACTGTTCTATCTGAAGCCTCTTGACAGAGGGAAAGTTGGGAGCTGTCAACCCATGGTCCATTTCCCTTTGTCCTGCTCCTTCTGCTCCCATTTCCCAATGTGGAAGGGGGCAGGGGACAATGCCTTTGCCAAACTATCCCATGACAAAAGGAGGTTTCATCAGTGACTCTGACTTAGTAGCTTGTTTGTGCATTTCAACTTAACATATCCTCCAGGGGTTGGGGAGGGGGGGACAAGGACAGTTTGTGGCAGGCCGATTCCATTTTAGAGCTGATACCTTAGGTAGCTAGGTTAGTTTAGAGCCCCACTGCTGTCCCCACTGTCAGTAGAGACTCCTCAGCAGACAGAGAAGCAGTGGGTGGGATGCACAACCCAGGAGAGGGCACTGGCATTTTCATGTCTGCGTGGAAAGCACTAGAAGGGCCACGTGTGTAAGAAAGGAGCCCACAGGGCCTATTGCAGGAGAAAGGATGGGACAAATGGGAAAGAGGCCTGAGGAGGGCCAGGACAAGCTGATGTGCTCCTCCTAACCACACTGTCTCTGGCTCAGGAGCGCCACAGGCGAGGCTTGGCAGGAGATTATGCTGTCGTGCCTTGGGGAGAAAGGCTGCGAGCCCGACACCACCGCCCCGTCAGGGCAGAATGAGAATGAGCGCTGCGGCACCGACCTGGCCTACGTGTACTTTGTCTCCTTCATCTTCTTCTGCTCCTTCTTGGTGAGCAACTCGTGGTCCTGTTCTTGCTTGAGGCGTAGCCTGTGCCACCTGCCCCAGTCTGTCTGCTGCACGCCTTCCTCTTCTCTCCCCACTGTCGTCCTTCCCTCGCCCTCAGACTCCAGCCCATGTGAAAGGATGGGTCCTCCTCCATAGGACTCTTGGAGGTCAGGATACTCCTCGGGCTCTGGGTGGGTGACTCTTGTTGGTTGATGAGTCTTTGCCACCTTGTAGGGAAGAACTGTTGTGAGCAGGGAGGAGGCTTCAGGCATTCAGTGACTGTACGCTGTGGACTCCGCAGTGACCCAGGGCAAATCTATTCTCTTTTGTACCTCAGGTGTCTTATGACTACAGTCAGGAGCACCTTGCCCCTCTCTTGGAGTTTTGAACTATTTGAGAAAAAGCACTTTGGACAAAGAAGGTGACAGGATTAATGAGAGTAGAGTGATAATGTTCAAGATGACAGATGTGGTTCTCTCCTGACATGTCGTGAGATTTAATGACAACTGGCCAGCTTGGAAGTGTGAAAGGATGGGGTTCTTTGTGTGATAGTAAATACTAAGTGCGATATGTGGAGCATACCCACTTAGAAAGTGGTGAGAGTCCTAATGCCGCTGTCTCTCTTCTTTCTTTTGAAGAAAACATGAGTCCCTAGCATCCAGAAATTTCTGCCTTGTACATCAGACAAGCAGTGGTAAACAGAGTAAATGTATAAGGTGCTACCAGATCAATAAAAGGGTCATCGTGCTGTTTCTGGCCACTCTGACCTGCCTCAGCTCAGCCTCACTGCTAAGGCCACTGGCAGTACAAAAAAATCCCAAACTGAAACAGTGTTACTGCTGAAAAGTGGTCGGGTCCATGGCCTTGCATCAAAAGGCAAGTTAACCGTCTCATGTCCAGGCATTTCCACTCTTTGTAGTGATCACAGGGGGCAGTGCCTTCCCGAGGTCCAGCTCTCTCCAGTGAGTGAGAGGGGCTTGTAGGCAGGCGGAAGTGGGGAGGGGGGTCACAGGTTCATGGTACAGGGAGTGAGGCAGCTGCAGCCTGGGGGAGCCCCTCTGTGGCCTTGGCTTCATTTATATATTAGTCTTGGCCAAGATGCCTTCCTTTTCATAGTATCTTTAAAATGGGAGAAAAAAAATGGCTGGGTAATGCAAATTTTATGCACAGTGAACTGATACATGTGTTTTAATACACTTCCTTCTTGGGAGTGAAACATCTTGCCATGGAAAAATAACAAGACAGCATCCTGTTTATAAATCTAGAAGCATAATGTATGAGGAAAATAACTGAAAGAAAACAGAATGTTGATATTAATTGGAGTTTTAAGTTTATTTTTTCACACCCTTGGCACATTTTTATCAAGTAACTGTTAAAAGGCTGGCATTGTGCTAGGCACTGGGATAGAATTGTCATCAAAGTTCATTTCCTCAGTTACCAATAGTCAAAAGAGGAAAGTCAGGTTTCAGGGTATGAGTGCATCGGTAGGGGTGAAATGGAGCAGAAAGAAGGGCATGCGGACATCCTAGTTTTATCCTACATGGTTTAAGTGTTTAATAATAAATATTTAAAAGAAACCAAAGATATAACTGGAAAATTAATTAGAGGCTATAAAGGTACTTTTAGAGTTTCAAGATAGAGGGTGCTACATAATTCACATGAATGTTATTTTTAATGAAGCTATATTCAGTACAAGATGACCTGCTCTCAAATCTCAGCTCTATGTGAGACTGAGTTTGTGACCTTGGGCAAGTCACACAACTTCTAAGCTGAGACCATTCTTCAGAGATTGCCTGATGCACAGCCAGCCATTGTACTGGGGGCTCAGAACACAAATGTGGATTAAAGCACTTGTTTCCTTGAAGGGCCGGTGGTAAACCTGCCTCACCAGGATGAGAGTGAGCATTAAAACAAACAATAGGTGTGAATGCACCAGGCACTCTCTTGAAGACTGTACAAAGGTGAGGTAACAATGATGCAAATATTTTGGTCAACAGTAACAATAGGTACTCTGTAAGGAGCACAAAAGAAATCTGTGCATATATAGAGAACTCTTTATAATCCAAGGAGTGGTTGAATAAATTCACAATGGCTCCAATCTCGGACAGAAACAAAGTCCCATGTTTGGATAAAGTTTACCTCCATGAGACAGAAATCCCCAAATAGCAGCAGCTTAACCAGGAGGGACATTGATTTCCCTCTCATGTGAGTAAAGTCTGAAGGAAGGTGGACGGGCTTGTTATGGTGGCTCTACAGAGCTGTTAGGACCTACTCATGCCTGCGACACCCCTAGGGAGTGTCTTCACCCTTATGGCAAGAGAAGACAAGCAGACCACCAGCCATCCACTTCTGTTTGAGGTAGCAGGAAGGAGTGATAGAAGAGACTGTCTATTAGTTTGGAATGCACTCTCTTCATGTTGCAGAGGGGACTCTTCCTAGACTTTCCTTACCCTGTCTATGTATATGGCACCTCTGTGTATACGGCAGCCATTTAACCTGGGAATCCTCCTGAGAGCATCCAGTTTTTCATCCCACTGGCTGGTTAGTCTCTATCAGAGAACTGCGAATAACAGAAAGCACAACTGACCCAGCTGAAGCAAGAAGGGATTTTACAGGCTCATGTCAGTGAGGTGTCCTGGGCAGGCTGAAGCAAGGCCCGATATGGGGCTCATATGACATTGCCAGGATGAGCTTTCTCTGTTTATAGGTTTCTTCCTCTACTTGTTTCTCAAACACTCCATCTTTTGGTCCCTTGATGGCTGCATCAGCAGCTGTAGACCTCATATCCTTACATGCTAGTCTTTTACTCTTTTATTGGCTTTGATTGGGTTACCAATCACTGCCGCCCAAGGAATAGGATTCAGTGACTGGGTCATAGAATGGTGCCCATTGAAGCATACTAACTAGGAATAGGCAAGAACCTATGCCAGAAATATTGTCAATAGGGGCTGGGCATCCAAGAAACAAAATTAACTGTGCTGGTCATCAAGTACTAAGGAGTCCAACTTCATTAACTCTCTAATCCTGATTTTGCTATTCTCCTGGCCTCTGGCTTGATTCAGAAGCACCACAAGACCCTCCTGCTGATCTCCTGCCCACCCCTGCACAGTTACCGAGGGTTCTTTCTGAATGTGCATGTCCCCTTGGTCTTGCCTCTGTTTATACCCCTTTCATGGCTCCTGTTGCCTGCATAATATTCTAGACCACAGTTCTGCAAATGATAGCCCATGGGCCAAATCTGATTTGCCACCTGCTTTTATAAGGCCTGTAAGCTAACAATGTTTTTATATTCTTTAGAATTGGGGGAGGGAAAAAAAAGATGAATACTGTTTCATAACATGTTGAAATTATATGAAATTCAAATTTCAGTGTCCATAAACAAAGCCTTCTTGGGAAACGGCCATGCTCATTTGTATCCATACTGTCAGCTGCTAGGTACTAGGACAGTGGAGCTGAAGAGCAAGGCCTGCGATATGCGCTATTGTCCAGGTTACCACTCTTGGTCTAGACTTTCTAATGAGGTTGATGAGATACCAAGGGCTGGTGACTCATCCCTTGGTCCCACTACTCTGCCCTCCTTACCAATTCCTGGAGGGTCCCTGTCCCTGCCTACGTCTGTGTTCTCTTCCATTATGCTGCCTCTACCTAAAATATTACCTTATAGACCTGTGTCTGTCTGATAAGTAGGGCTTGATCTCGCAGGACTCAGTTCAAGAATCTTCTCAGCTAGGAAAAGTTGCCTTAGTACTCCTTTCTGTCTCCACTATCATCTGCATGTACTGCTTTCATGGCTCTTGCAATTTGTAACATTTTTATGTTTCCAATACATCACTGTCTTTTCTAAATACTATGTGATTCTGCAAGAATATTCAAGTGATACTATCTAGTGAAGGCCTTGGGTGCTTCAAGCAGTGTTCTTGGCCTGGAAATGTGTCTCTGAAGGGTGGGCTGAGCAGACATGGGGGAGAACAGGGTCCTGGAAGCTGCTTCAGATCCACAAAGAGCTTCTTGTCCTCATGCAGTCAGCCACCCTCTCAGCTCTGAAACCTCTCACCAGTTCTCTCTCTGGGTCCTTTCTGTAGAGCAAGAGGTGGGGAGGGAGGTTGGAGAGGGAAGATTGGTATCAGGCCTTGACTTTCTCTAAGCTTTGAGAATGCTGAGGTTGCTACCTCTGTTCTGCTGCCACAAGAACAATTAAATAAATTGGCTATGGAGTATTTTGAAAATATGAAATGGCATAGAAAAATTAAAACATAATGTTCACATGATGAATGTGCAGTATGAATAATGAAAATATGTTGCATTCAGCAAGATTGATGCACTTTGCTAGGAGTTTCAGTCTTACACACTTTTGAAATCTTTTATGTGCCTTGAAGCTTCTTTTTTTGCTTCCTGAGCTCTGCTTTAGGTTGCTCCTAACTTCTATTCTCCCCTGTGCCCTTCAGATGCTCAACCTGTTTGTGGCTGTCATCATGGACAACTTTGAGTACCTGACTCGGGACTCCTCCATCCTGGGGCCTCACCACTTGGATGAGTTTGTTCGCGTCTGGGCAGAATATGACAGAGCAGCATGGTGCGTAGGCCTCTGGGCCACCCAGAGATACAGGGACTATGGAGTTCTCAGGGAAGAGGTTGGCATTGGAGCCACCCAAATGTTTACCTATTATAGAAGGAGAGGAGACTCCTCTTTGTGGTGGCCCATGAAGAGGCCTTGGCATTGGACTAGTCCTCAGAGGCTTACCCTGTGCTTCTTGACCCTCTTTCCTTTTGTAACAGGCTTGACTTTGCCAATCTCCTCAAAGTTCTCATGTGGATTGTTTGGGTCCACTCCCAGAGGAGCGTCCAGTAATCTTCCTTCTCTTCTTGCCAATGCTAGTGGACTCTTTTGAGTGACCAAAGGGTTTGATAAGGATTTTCTAGCTCAGAGAGACATTTGTTTGGTCACCATGGTCAGTAATGTTTACCTCCCTCACCCTGCTCAAGAGATACAGTTGGATAAACTCTGAAATTGTACATTGAAAACCAAACAAGTTCTTTCAACTGTTCTCTTGAGCACTTATGGGATTTTAATTATGCGGAACTGAATTAAATGGCAGGAATTGGCAGGGATAATCTATTTTTTAAAAATCTTTCTTACTGTTTGGAAGTTCTGAAGTGATGTTACTTCTTTTGGGCTTTAGAACAGGGGTTAGCAAACTACTGCTCCTGGGCTAAGTTTGGTCCATTGTTTGTTTTTGCCAATAAAGTTTTATTAGAGCACGGCTGCACCATACACATATGTATTACCTATGGCAGCTTTCACACTAAAAGGGAGAGTACAGTGTTTGACAAAGATGATATGATACTCAAATTCAAAGACATTTATTATCAAAATATTTCATTATCAAAATTTTATTGTCAAATGAGTTTGCCAACCCCTGCTTCAGAGTACAAAGTTAGCCTTTTGGCACTCATGGTTGAGGGTGACATTTCTATGAACTTTTCTGACCCAGGTCATATTAGCTTCTGGGTCATAACTTACCATTCTATCCATTCTGGTCCCCCTCTGAAAATACTACAGGAGACATTGTCCTTCACAGGAATGGACCACGTTGCTTCCACCTGGAACTCCCTTCATAATCTAAGATTCATCCCCCTGGGAGGCTATTGAACTTGGGTTACTGTTTTGGAGGTTGAATGGGTGAATTGGAATTTCTCCTCTCCTTTAATTATTAATGACTTAGGGCTCAGAATTATCTGAATTCACTACTGTTACAATGACTGAGCGACAGCTTTTCCTTTCAGGGCTCACATTCCAGGATGCAACTCTTAGAAAACATAGGGCAGTGGCAGGGGTGGGGGGTAAAGGGCAGCCAGGTCTGCGTCTTTCACTTCTGCAGCTTTAGACCCATCACCAAACTACTCTGAACTGCCTCTGCTGCCGAGCAGTGATGTTACCTACCTACCTTGAAGGATAGTCACAAGGATGATATTACATCGTGCACACTGTTATTGTACCCGATGATATGGAAATGCAAGTTGGAAGTAAGGAAAGTCGGCTTCTATAGAGTGTGGAGAGTTTGCCAGGGCTGAACTTGGGTCCAGGTCTGGACTTGGTCACTTACCAGAGTAAAGAGAAACCATTGGCTCATAAAGGAGTTCATTGCTCATCTAGCCTCACTTTGGTGTTCCAGGCTCCCAGAAACCCCATCTTCCTTTGCTTTCACAGGATCCAAATGCCACGTGCATTAAACATGCTCCTCCTTGCTCATTCCAGCTGCCAGGAAGAGACAGTGCCATGAGGACTTGTCATAAGACTCAGATTCATGAGCTAAGCAAATATACATAGAACCTCTTCTGTTTTACAAAGTTACAGTGTACCTCATTTGGGTTAGTTTCCTTAGCTTTCTGTATGACATGGAGGGGAGTAACAAAAGTACAATGAACCAACGTCTTCAAAAGGAAGATGTTTACAGGTGGCAAAAGACATTGGCCTGTTGCTACTGGTAACCCACCTACTTCCCAATTTCATTAAGGAGTCAAATAAAAGACTACATGGTCAAATTACATCCCCTCAAGAAGTGAGCGATGTGGAGGTACTGACGAACTGTTCTCTGGAAGAATAGGAAGGTTGGATGCCCAAATCAAGAAGAACCCAGACATAATGAAGCCAGGACATGGCACCCATCTCAACACGCCTGCCAGTATGGACTGGATGTTCAGAGGTGGAGATACCATATTTATAATCTCCTGTCAGACCCTTGTCAGTTGCAGATCCCTGGCCATGCCTTGTTCTTGCCCATGATAGGAAAGATGCTTTCACCATTGAAAATTAGTCGGTTGTTAATACTGTCCCTTCCACAGGAAGCCCAAAGTTCACAAAAGAAGGCTTTGGTATGACAAGTCACCTTGTTCCTGGAATTCTGGTTGGACCCAATCTGGATTCTGGGTGGCAGGAATGGAGCTGGGGGAAAAGTACCCAGGGCTCCTCCCAGGGAGCTTTCAGAACATGGATCCCAGAAGGCTCTCACAAGTAGAGGAGAGTTTGCCCGGGCTGAACTCAGGAAAAATGTTTCAAAGAGAATCCAGGCCCTTTGCAAATTCTCTCGTGCCAACTGTGCTTTTTGCTAATTAGCCTAATGGGAAATTTGTCTCTTACAGTCTGCAGAAAGACACTGACTTCCCATTGCCCCTGATAGGCGGGTCTGAGTAACTGACTATAATCGGTGTCTGTTTTCTGAAAAGCAAACCATTCTGCAGTCTGGTTTGCAGCAGCCCAGCATCGGCTCTGGAATTGAGGCAGAGGCTCACAGGCTGTCTATGTTCTTAGAAGCCTAGCTAGAGGCAGGGCTGTGACTGCACCTGGCCAAGTATGGGCCATTTAGGTGTATCAGGGCGCTCTGGGGCTCTTCTGGCAATGGATGAACTCTGATTTCCTGAGACAATTGGGGCTCTACTATTTGGCAAGGTGATGGTTCTCTGGTGCTACTGTTCTCTGGTCTGGCTTTGCCTGGCCCAAGAAAAGAGGCTGCCCTCATTTCTTCCAGTCTCCCCTTTAGGGCAAGGCTGTCATTTCTTTTCCACCCTTTTTTGAGTATCCTATTAACCCACCTGTGCTTCCTTTACAGCGGCAGGATCCCGTATAAGGATATGTACAAATTAGTGCGGGTGATCTCGCCACCTCTGGGCCTGGGAGAGAACTGCCCCTACAGGGTGGCTTGCAAGGTTTGCTCCCAGTCCCCAGCCATGACCTGTGGTGGGATGCAACATCTAACCCCTCCTCTCCGTCCTCTGCTCCACCACCACTGCACCACATGAGAGAACCTTCATGTTGCTTTTCTTTGAGTTTAAAGAGGTCCAAACCCTCCCAGAATCAGCAGCTGTTTCTAAGAAGGGCACAGTTGGTAGGGAAGGCATAAATGAGTTCAAGACTTAGTATGAAGGCCAATTTGATATCTCACTTTTATTCACATGCACACACATATGCATCATAACACGTACAATCTGTTCTACCTTATTTTGCATTTAACCACAGGGACTTCTCCCTTCCTCTCCCCCAGCAAATGCAGAAATCTTTTTAATCTATTGAGTTATGTCCCTGGAGACAGAGAGGCCTCATTTTTAGCTAAATCATGTCATTGTCTCATGTGTAATGAATCACAATATGACTTTGGCCGTCCCTATCTCTGCCTACCCTCCCAGGTCCTGGGTGCTTTGGCCAGAAGTGACCATAAAAGCTGAAGGTGGTGCATGCCTGGAATCCTCCAGAGTGTGCAACTCGGAAGGATGAGACAGGAAAGTCAAAAGTTCAAGGCCAGCCCACACATCTAAGCAAGACCCTGTCTCAAAAAAGGGGTGGAGATATAGCTCAGTGGTTGAGTGCCTTTGGGTTCAATCCCCAGTACTGAGGTAGGGAGAAGCTAAAGGACAAAAATGAGGTGAGAAATAATAATTAGGGCAGCAAGTAAGCAGAGGTGAAGGAGGCGTAGATTTGGGGGTATATTGGAGAGTTTAATAGCTCTGAGAATTCTGGATGGCCTCTGTAGAAGATGAAGGGCCACTGAGGGCCCTGCCATATATAGTTGTGAGGGCACTGTCACCATTGCCATGTCACTTCTGTTGCTTAGACCAAAGATATTGTCCAGGGGCACATAGGACCTCCCTTTCAAACTGCCATACCCTGGGAACTTTCTACATCCCAGTGGCTCTACAGTGTAGAGCCATCCAAAGCCAAGACTGCTAGACAAGGAGCCCTCTCCTGGTGGACTCCCTCAGGCAGAGCCCTGCCCAGGCAGGTGGAAGAGGCCCCAGGCTTGGGAAGGAAGCCTACCTGGGCGATGGACGGAGCTAGCTTGGGCTGGTGACACAGTGGTTCAGTGCTCGGAAGGCTGGACAGCTGCCTCTGCCTGAGACTCTTTAAACTCCGCCCTGGTGAAACCTGCAGCCGCATGTGGGAGAGCTGGGAGGGGCAGCATGGCATGCAGATGCTCTTCCTCCTCCTGGTTTTGTTTCTTCTATCCCCAGCATGCCGTCAACCTGGTGCATGCTGGGGAATAAAGAGCCCTCTTGTCCACAGAGCCAGGTGGAAGCAACAGGCCGACTCTGACAAGCAGCCTCAGCCCACCACTCAGCGCGAGCCACCGCCTCCTGCTGCACACACACCACAGAGGGGGGATACACGACGTTCCGCCTGTGGGTTCAGGGGAGGAGAGAGGCCTGACTTCCAGGCCAATGTCCCTGTCACAGCCTGGGACCAGAATTCCCACCCATGGCTGGAGCACCGTCTATCCGGTTTATACCGCGCTCACACAGCCCTGGGAATTGAAAAGTTTGTACTACTGGGGGCAAACAGGACCAGCAGGGAAGTCAGGGTAAGGCTACTGGAAGAGGAATGAACAAGTCCCCGTCAGTGCCTTCTGACAGTGTCAGCAGGACAAGAGGTTGCCACTGGTGTTCCCGGGTCTGTGTGGGGCGTGATATAAATCCGCACCAGGATGGAGTCACATGTATGATTTGCCTTGATTAACAGGTTTCCTATTCTTTTCCTGTTTTGTCCATTTTGTTTTTCTTCTCCTGTTTTCTGTATCGTTTTGTTCTGGCTCTCTGGGAATGCCTGTTCTCCTCTCCTACCTGTCTGCATCCCTGCCCCCCCACCCCACTTCCTCACCTCTCCCTGCCACCCCTCCTGCCCTACCCCTCCTGTCCTGTCCTTACACCCCCGCCCCCCCATGAGCAGTGGCCGCATCCATTACACTGAGATGTATGAAATGCTGACTCTCATGTCACCACCGCTAGGCCTCGGCAAGAGATGTCCCTCCAAAGTGGCATATAAGGTAGACCACCCCTTCCTTTGTTCTGGGCTAGAGACCAACAGGAGATGGAGTCCAGTTGTGGGGAGGCTAGAACATGGGAGGAAGCTGGGCTGGGGAGGTGGAGGAGGGAAGTAAGGAAAAAAGGAGACCAGAGAGTCAGGAAGGTTGTCAGGAGGACAAAGTCAGGAAAGGATATGACAGGGGTTTGCAGTGCTGTTCCCCACAGGGCTCTTTGTGTCACTCTGTTTTCTAAAAGTGTTTGGCTTCTCATGAGTGGGTTACTAAAGAGGTACTGTAGGTGGTGTATTTCCTTTTAGAGGAGGCAAAGTGGTGTCCAGGGAAACAGTGTATTTGGGAAAGAAAACTACAATGTGCAGCCATCGGAGCTTATTAAGAAACAAAGCTGCTTCATTCAGATCAATTAGAGAAACAATGCAGAAATTCCTCTAAACATGGTTCCAGAAGAAATCTTTAGGAGAACTGGCAACGAGTTTCTTCCCCAATGACGTAAGAAGGAACCGATGGAAGGCTCCTCCTAGGTGTGAGGCCTGCAAAGGAATGTGTCTTCAACCCAGGGTCCACGGAAGGCCGCAGCTTTCTTCGCCTTCACCTGACTACCCCATGCCCGTGGAAATGCTCAAGGGAAGGGGCAATAAAGGGCATAAGTTGCCTTCTTGTTAGCTCTGCCTCATTAGCAGGATAGCCTTGTGGGTGGGGCCCTGGCCTGCCTTAAGTCGCCCTTAGCTTTGGGGCCTGAATTTTTCTTCACCTATTAGTCATTGTTACTGATAATTCCCCTTTGGTGTTTAGATGAATCCAGAACTCTGGAGCTCTTTCAATCATTAGGAACATGTCATAGTAATACTGCTGCTTCTCTGAAAGTCAACAGAAGTCGGGGAGGTAGAACTTGAATCCAAACTAGAAACTGTCCTTATGCACTAAGACAGGTCTGTGGAATTGCTCTAGGCAAGGTGTTCTACAGTGTATTAGAGAGCCTTCCCCTAGAGCCTGCCTTTCCAAGAGATACTTCCCCACTGCCAGGCTGGTGGTTCTGCCAGAGGCCCTCCTGCTATCTCCAAATTGCGTCGCTCCAGAGAGCATCTCATGGGAATGTGGCCATTAGGGACCTCCATCCACCCAGCATATAGTTCCACTATAGCTTAAGGACTGATTATCTTAATTTTGTTCATGATGACCACATCCCAAAGTACCAGGTGGTGGGATGTGGCCAATTCTTTGAATTTTTGGGACAAAGCTTGGTGAGAGGAGAGAGAATTGGAAGGAAAGTTGCATAATTCTAAAAGCACGATACTCTCTGGAAAGTGGATTTGGCCATTTCAGTTTGATTCCTTCCTCTGGGCGAGGGGAACAGGGCCTGCCCACTCTGCTCCTGCCTGTGCCCCCATCTCTTATTCTTTTTTTCCCCTGCTCTCCCCATCTTCCTCCCCTAGAGCCTGATTGCACTTACCCCTGTCCATCCTGCTCCACCTCATCCTTTGGATAAGTTGGACTTATGCATGTTCAATCATGGGCTGGCAAATTTCATCCTTTAAAGACTCAAAAAGGGGGCACCAGGATGCATTTTCCAAGTCAGATAAGCAAACCAAAACCTGTCGCTATCTTTCCATCAAGTTTGGGGGCATTTATGGGACAAGTGGAAATACAGAGCAGCCTGGAGACAGGGAATGGAGCCACCTCCCAGAGCTGACTCCTTCCCCAGAGCCTCTTCTAGAAATCACTTCCCTTCCCATTGGAAGACATTCTTAGGACTCCCCATGAAGGAGTTCCATGGAATGATCGGGGAAGCCCCATCCCTTGGAATTTGGCATCATTCCCTGGAAAAAGCAGCAAATGAGCCTTGGGTGAGAAGCAAGGAGAGTAGGACTGGGACAGGGGTATGGGGAATCCTTGCCCTTCCTTTTTGTCTGTGCATTTGACTTCTGCACTTTTCTTTCCTTCTCACAAGGTATCTCTTGATATTTTTTTTTTTTTTGGCCTGCTGTTTTTTTTTCTTCTTTCACACAGAGGTTGGTCCTGATGAATATGCCAGTGGCTGAGGACATGACAGTCCATTTCACTTCCACACTTATGGCTCTGATCCGGACAGCTCTGGACATTAAAATTGCCAAAGGTCAGCCTAGGGAGGGAGGGAGGGAGGGGTTGTGTAGGATGGAGCTATATGAATTGCCAGCCAAGGACACAACAATACAGTGACCTGGAATTTAAGTAGCAGGGTCCTGGTTTCACCTGTGAGACTCAACAACCTTAACACTTGTCATTTCCTTTGGTAAAATAAACGATTTGGTCACCTTTAAGGCTCCTTTTGAGTGTTAAAACAGTGTATGTGCTTTAGTGTCTAGCTGGGCATTCTAGAAATATTTGCAGGTTAAGCATATGAATTTTGTCATTTTCCCTCTATATGGCATCTTTTCTCTAAATTCTTAAAAGTCTTCTGTCATAGAAGTCATCATAGAGGACATGAAAGCACTTTGCTCATCTTGATTGATAATTCAGTGGTCTAGGAAAGAAAAGGTTTAGTACTTCTAGACCTTTAGCTGCCTTGTCTTGCCTGATCCAAATCCTCTGTAAAATCGGGTTACTTGGATCATAGAACTAGGGTTGCTGGAGGACTGATATGTGCACAGTAAGGCAAGGCAGGCTTACTTGAGGCTCATTCCATTTTTCCCTATGATGTATTGAGTACCTGAGATCCTTTTAGAATCAATGAGGAAGTCGGTTTTGGTCTCTGTTTCTCAGAGGTCTGTGACAGGATAGGCCTGAGTCACTGGAAATAGGAGTCAAACTGTGTTCTGCTTCCTCAGCAGAATGACTTGTCTGTTACTAAGTGCCAAGATTTCCTCTTGGAATATGAAGTGCCATTCTGATTTAGCCCCTGCCCCCACCCATTCCCTTCGTCCTTGGTATTTGTGTCTGTTCTGATTTATTAATGATTTATCTTATTTTAGGAGGTGCAGACAGGCAACAGCTAGACTCAGAGCTGCAAAAGGAGACCCTGGCCATCTGGCCTCACCTGTCCCAGAAGATGCTGGATCTGCTTGTGCCCATGCCCAAAGGTGTGGGGTCTCCTCTTGAGTATTCTTGCCATTGTGGCCCAGCATGCCAAGGCCACATCTTTTGGGAAACCTGGAATGATCAAGGAGATAAGGGAAGGTTGCTCTTTTATCTTTAGGAAATTAAATTACCCACTAAAGTCCCTTTAATCATTATTAATCACAAGCAGTTTAAGATAGGCCATTGTGGTTGTGCATGAAACTTCCTGGGTGTCATTCTTTCCATGTCATGCTGTTCAGCAAACCCCCATCAGTTGGGAAAAGGGTGGTGGTACTTAGATCTGGACATCTAGAATGCTAGGAGTTGATGCTTACAAATATATTGCTTGCCATCAGTATCGTCACTGTCACCCTCATTGGGTGGATTTGTAAACTCCTGGAGGACAGATGTGGGGACCTATTCACTTTGTATCCTCAGAGATTCAATAAGCATTGGATGAGTGAGTGAGGGTATAAACCTACTTCAAAGAGTGGGTAATAAAGCTTGTGAGGCATCCCTACTCTTTCCTCCTTGTTCATCGTCATGCCATGGTTTGTGTTTTTAGCTTCTGACCTGACTGTGGGAAAAATCTATGCAGCAATGATGATCATGGACTACTATAAACAGAGTAAGGTGAAGAAGCAGAGGCAGCAGCTGGAGGAACAGGTGAAAGTCAATGATTGGGTGGGTGGGCCTTGAGCCACTTGGGCTCCCAAGGAGATGTGTATCCCTGGGGCACAGTGCTCTGTGAGTATAGTAAGGGATGAAGGGTATGAGAACTTTCTAGTGCCATGCAATTAGAAATCCAGTGAGTCCACCATGAAAATAGTCAAGCAAGGTGTAAATCATGCTCTGACATTTCTTGTGTCATTTATATTCCTGCCCCCCACAGCAGATCCCACAGTGTCATGGGAACTTTTTTCTTTTCTTTTTTTTTTTTTACACAGAAAAATGCACCCATGTTCCAACGCATGGAGCCATCATCTCTGCCTCAGGAGATCATTGCTAATGCCAAAGCCCTGCCTTATCTCCAGCAGGACCCCGTTTCAGGCCTGTGAGTAGAACCAAAGGGTCCACACCTGCTTGAAATAGGCCACCCATGCCACTATGTAGGCCTGAGAACCTATTGCCTCAAAGTACCCAAGTAATCATACTGAGCTGAATAGTTCATTTCCTGAGGCTGAGTCTCTCAAGATTGTTATAGTACAGGGGTAAGAAAAACATAAACTAAGCCTATATAGTGACACTACCAGCTTCAGAGACAATGGTCACTGTGAAGGGACAATGGAAGGAAGTTTTCACTTGTGTTCTAATATACTGGCATCTTAGTTCCCTTGTGAAGAATAATCGTCTTCTATTCTTGATTATTGCTTCCCACTGGATTTAGCATTCTGCTAGAAGATATAGATCCCTTCAGAGGGGCCAGGATTGCAGAATATAGAAGGGGGAAAGAAAGAATAGCTACTGAATTCTTCCCCTGAGGGTGGTTCTGCCCAACCTCACTTTGATTCTCACTAAAGCAGTCTACTATACCCTGGAAATAGATAATAAGATTATCATTTTTTACAAATAAAGAAATGGAAACTAAAGGAGATTAAATAAGTTGCCCAAATGGGATCATTAGTAGGAAGCAAACTGAAATTTGTTATTTCTTTTCTTATAACACCCATTTATTAACCCACTGTTCTGTAAATCAGAAGTCAAGCCTGCCATGACTGGGTTCTCTGCTGAGGGTGTCACAGGCAGAAATGAGGCCAGCCAGATTGAATCTTATTTGGAGGCTCTGGAGAAAATGTTTATTTCCAAGCTCTTTTTAAAAATTTATATATGACAGCAGAATGTATTGCAATTCTTATTACACATATAGAGCACAATTTTTTTTCATATATGGTTGTTTTTTACAAAGTACATTCATACCAATTTGTGTTTTCCTACATGTACTTTGGATAATGATGTCCATCACATTCCACCATCATTTCTAACCACATGTCACCTCCCTTACCTTCCCATCCCTCTGCCCTATCTAAAGTTCATCTATTCCTCCCACGATCCCCCTCCCCACACCACTATGAATCAGCTTCCTTATATTGGAGAAAACATTCGGCATTTGTTTTTTGGGGATTGGCTAACTTCACTTACCATATCTTCTCTAACTCCATCCATTTACCTGCAAATGCCATGATTTTATTCTCTTTTATTGCTGAGTAATATTTGATCATTCTCATATATATCAAATTTTTGTATCCATTCATCTATTGAAGGGCATCTAGGTTGGTTTCATAGTTTATCTATTGTGAACTGTGCTGCTATAAATATTATGTGGTTGTGTCCCTGTAGTATGTAGTTTTTAAACCCTTTGCGTATACACCAAGGAGAGGCATAGCTGGGTCAAATGGTGGTTCCGTTCCCAGTTTTCCAAGAAATCTCTATACTGTTTTCCATATTGGCTGCACCAATTTGCAGTCCCACCAGCAGTGTATGAGTGTACCTTTTTCCCCACATCCTCACCAACACTTATTATTTGTCTTCATAACATCTGCCGTTCTGACTGAAGTGAGACGAAATCCTAGAGGAGGTTTGATTTGCATTTCTCTAATTGCTAGTGATGATGAACATTTTTTTATATATTTGTTGATTGATTGTATATCATCTTCTGAGAAGTGTCTGTTCAGGTCCTTGGTCCATTTATTGATTGGGTTAATTTTTGTTTGTTTTTTGGTGCTTAGCTTTTTGAATTCTTTATATACCCTAGAGATTAGTGCTCTGATGTGTGAGGGGTAAAGATTTGCTCCCAAGATGTAGGCTCTCTATTCACCTTACAGATTGTTTCTTTTGCTGAGAAGAAACTTTTTAGTTTGAGTCCATCCCACTTATTTTATTGATTCTTGATTTTAATTCTTGTGCCAAAGGAGTCTTATTGAGGAAGTTGGGGCCTAATCCCACACAATGGAGATTAAGGCCTAGTTTTTCTTCTATTAGACACAGGGTCTCTGGTTTTATTCCTAGGTCCTTGATCCATTTTGAGTTAAGTTTTGTACATGGTAAGAGATAGGGGTTTAATTCATTTTGTTGCATATGGATTTCCAGTTTTCCCAGCACCATTTCTTGAAGAGGATATCTTTTCTCCAATGCATGTTTTTGGCACCTTTGTCTAATAAGATAATTGTAATTTTGTGGGTTAGTCTCTTTGTCCTCTGTTTTGTACCACTGGTCTACCAGTCTGCTTTGGTGTCAATACCATGTCGCTTTTGTTACTATTGCTCTGTAGTATATTTTAAGGTCTGGTATAATGCTGCCACCTGCTTCACTCTTCCTGCTAAGGATTGCTTTAGCTATTCTGGGTCTCTTATTTTTCCAGATGAATTTCATGACTGCTTTTTCTATTTCTATGAAGAATGTTATTGCGATTTTGATCAGAATTGCATTAAATCTGTATAGTGCTTTTGGTAGTATGGTCATTTTGATAATCCTACTTATCCAAGAGCAAGGTAAATCTTTCCATCTTCTAAGGTCTTCTTTGATTTCTTTCTTTAGGGTTCCATAATTTTCATTATATAGATCTTTTATCTCTTTCATTGATTCCCAAGTATTGTTTTTTTTTTTCTTGAGGCTATTGTAAATGGGGAAGTTTTCCTCATTTCCATTTCTGAAGATTTGTCACTGATATACAGAAATGCATTTGATTTATGGGTGTTGAATTTATATCGAGCTACTTTGCTGAATTCATTTCTAGAAGCTTTCTGGTGGAACTTTTAGGGTATTCTAGGTATAGAATCATTTCATCAGCAAATAGTCCCAATTTGAATTCTTCTTTTCCTATGTGTATCCCTTTAATTTCTTTTGTCTGATTGCTCTGCCTAGTGTTTCAAGAACTATGTTAAATAGAAGTGGTGAAAGAGGGCATCCCTTTCTTGTTCCAGTTTTTAGAGGAAATGCCTTCAATTTTTCACTATTTAGAATGATATTGGCCTTGGGCTTAGCATAGATAGCCTTTATGATGTTGAGATATATTCCTATTATCCCTAATTTTTCTAGTGTTTTGAACAGGAAGGGATGCTGTATTGTCAAATGCTTTTTCTGCATCTATTGAGATGATCATATAATTCTTTAAGTCTATTGATGTGATGAATTACATTTATTGATTTATGGGGATGAATCCCACTTGATCATGGTGCATGATCTTTTTTGATGTTTTTGTATTTGATTTACCAGAATTTTATTGAGAATTTTTGCATCTATGTTCAATAGAGATATTGGTCTGAAATTTTCCTTTTTTTGATCTATCTTTGCCTGGTTTTGGAATTGGGGTGATATTGGCCTCATAGGATGAGTTTAGAAGTGCTCCCTCTTTTTCTATTTCCTGAAATAAATTGAAGAGTATTGGGGGGCTGGGGATGTGGCTCAAGCAGCAGCGCGCTCGCCTGGCATGTGTGGGGGCACTGGGTTTGATCCTCAGCACCACATAAAAATAAAGATGTTGTGTCCACCGAAAACTAAAAAATATTAAACAAATTCTCTTTAAAAAAAATTGAAGAGTATTGGTATTTAAAGGTCTTATAGAACTTTCTGATATTATCTCACTGAAGAAATTGTGCATTCCTTTGGATTAAAACTCTGTACCTTCCTCTATCCCAATAACTCTTAGATTTGGTCTTTTGATGCTGTCCCATAATTTTTGCTTGTTCTGTCCATGGTTTCTTCATTGTGTGATCAACTTTATTTTCCAAATTGTATACTTTGTCTTCATTATCTGACTTCGTTCTTCTCCGCCTGGATTTTTCTTGGTAGACTTCTGATGGCATCTTCTATTTGTCACTTAAAATTGGTCTGTTTAAATTGTGTATAACATCCTAATTCAATTTGGGCAAATTATATGACTCTAGAAATTTGTCAATGCCTTCGATATTTTCTATTTTATTGGAGTACAAGTTTTCAAAATAATTTCTAATTATCGATTGTATTTCTGTAGTGTCATGATATTTCCTTTTTTCATCACATATATTAGTAATTTGAGTATTCTCTTCTCTTCGTTAGCATGGCTAAAAGTCTGTCAATTTTATTTACTTTTTCAAAGAACCAGCTTTTTGTGCTGTCAGCTTTTTCAATTGTTTCTTTTGTTTCAATTTCATTGATTTCGGCTCTGCTTTTAGTGTTGATTTATTCCTCTTTTTCTAGGGCTTTGAGATGTAATGTTAAGACATTTGTTGACTTTTTTTTTAAGGAATGAACTCCATGCAATGAAATTTCCTCTTAGAACTGCCTTCATAGTGTCCCAGAGATTTCAATATGTTGTATCTGTGTCCTCATTCACCTCTAAAATTTTTTTTTAAATCTCCTCCTTGATGTCTTCTGCCACCCATTCAGTAAGTATATTATTTAATCTTCAGGTGTTGAAGTAGCTTTTATTTCTTTTTTATAATTGATTTATAATTTCATTCCATTATGATCTGATAGAAAATATAAAAAAATAGAGATACTACCTGGAATTCTAAGAGTTGCTTTGTGGCATAATATATGGTCTATTTTAGAGAAGGATCCATGTGCCGATAAGAAATTATACTCTCTCATTGAAGGATGAAATACTCTATATATGTCAGTTAAGTCTAAGTTATTGATTGTGTTATTGAGTTCTATAGTTTTTGTTCACCTTTTGTTTGGAAGATCTGTCTAGTGATGAAAGAGGTGTGTTAAAGTCACCCAAAATTATTTTGTTGTGGTCTGTTTGACTCTTGAACTTAAGAGTTTGTTTTTAATGTAGGTGCTCCATTGTTTGGGGCATATATATTTATAATTAAGTCTTGTTGGTGTATGGTTCCCTTGAGCAGTATGTCCTTTATCCTTTTTGATTGACTTTAGTTTGAAGTCTATTTGATATGAGGATGGAAAACCTTGCTTGCTTCTGCAGTCTACGTGAGTGGTATGATTTTTCCCAACCCTTCACCTTCAGTCTGTGGATGTCTTTTCCTATGAAATAAGTCTCTTGGAGGCAGCATATTGTTAGGTCTTTTTTTTTAAAAAATCCAATCTGCTAGTCTGAATTTAGGCCATTAACATTTAGGGTTATTATTGAGATATGATTTGTATTCCCAGCCATTTTTGTTTATTTTGAGGATTTAACATGACTTGGTTTCTCCTGATTAGATTTTACTTTAGTGTAATCCCTCCCGCTGCTGATTTTCATCTCCTTTGTGGAATATTTTGCTGAGGATGTTCTGTAGTGCAGACTTTCTAGTTATAAATTCTTTTAACTTTTGTTTATCATGGAAGGTTTTTATTTCATCATCAAATCTAAAGCTTAGTTTTGCTGGATATGATTCTTGGTTGGCATCTATTTTCTTTCAGAGCTTGGTGTATGTTGTTCCATGATCTCCTGGCTTTGAGGGTCTGGGTTGAAAAATCTGAGATGCAGATTAATCTCCCCCTATATGTGATCTGCGTCCTCTCTTTCAGCTTAAGATTCTATCCTTATTCTGTATGCTAGGCCGCCTTTTCATTATAATGTGCCTTGGTGTAGATTTGTTGTAACTTTGTACATTTGATGTCCTGTAAGCCTCTTGTACTGGTTTTTCCAATTAGTTCTTAATGCTTGGGAAATTTTCTGATATTATCTTACTGAAGAAATTGTACATTCCTTTGGATTAAAACTCTGTCTTCCAATAACTCTTAGATTTGGTCTTTTGATGCTGTCCCATAGTTTTTGGATGTTCTGTTCATGGTTTTTTCACTGTGTGATCAACTTTATTTTCCAGATTGTATACTTTGTCTTCATTAGATCACTTGGAAGAAAGAACGTCAGATAGTCTGTTGGTTATGCTTTCTATTGAGTTTATTTGATTTATTGCATCCTTCATTTCAAGGGTTTGTTTTTTTTCCCCCAGAATCTCTTGAAGTAATCTTTTGCTACCTGTATTTGCTCTTATCTCATTGTTGGAGTGATCACTTTTTGCCTATATTTGCTCATTTAGGTCATTCTTTAATTATGAACCTTCTGAACTCCGACATTTCATCAACTTTTCTTTCCATGGGTTCTGTTATTACAGTATCCTAGTTTGTTTGGGGCACTTTCCTCCCTTGTTTTTTCATGTTGTCTAAGATATTTCAGTTTCTACCCTATATTCTTGTAGTGTCTGTGAAGATTGTCTGGAAGCCCATCTCACCTTGATGGTGGGCTTCCAGACCCTGCTGGTGTCCCTCGGTGTGTGCTACTGCATCTAAAGGTGGTGGTGGCAATTGCTTCCATGTTGGGGCACCTTATCTAAGCTATGTCTTATAGAGATGTGGCTGAAAAGGTGGGCCTCACTCTTTGGGATGCCAACTTTGAGATGAAGCTGCTTCTAGATCCTGTCTGTTGTTAAAAAGTTAGGGGTTACTGTGTGGGGAAGACTATGGTAGTGACTGCAGTGTCCCAACATGGGTTAAGCCCCCAGGTTTTGGGGGGCAGAGCGAACTCAGACCTACTCTGGACTTGGGTCCATGCAAGTCGGTGTGGGTGGATTTGGGCTGGGCCTGGCCTCCTGCAGTAGTCTGCTGGTTGGAAGAGGCGGTACTGTGCTGCAGGCTGGGCTCTGGCGGGTATGGGTTGATCTGGGCAACCCAGCTCGCCTACCTGTAGTAGTCTGCTGCTCCAAAATTTGCTATTTCTGAGTAGAGTCTTTTCACTGTAACATATTATCTTTAATAAACAAAGGTGTTCAGAAAAAAGTTGAGACAAAACTAAGGAATATGCCAGTTCTTCTGACAGGCCTTAGCTCCTGGTTGTTGATCATAAATGATTACTAGTGTATACACATCTCATGCCATTATCAACGGTAAGCATGGGGTAGGCACCCAAGGGCATGAGTCCCTCTGGGCAATGTAAACCAGTTTGAGGTTGGGATTCACTAAATTGTACAACATGAGATGATATCCAGGGCTTGGGAATGAGACCTCTGTTGGAACACCCTTTGGTATTGCTTACACCATTAGTTTCTTTCATCCTTTGGTGGTGTAGGTCTGTTTTTGAAAAATATATTAAAAAGTCACAATATAGAACACTTAGAAGAAAAAGCCCAGAGTCGTGATCAGGGACTTTGGTTATTTTTATAAATTATTTGATATGATGGCAAGATGCATATTCTCTTGTCCTCAGAAAACAAGTAGATGTTTATTTTTGCTGTGTACAGGAGGGAGAGAAGGACATATGACTGGAGCAATTGGGCCTCCCCAATGTAGGGTTTACACTGTTTTCCATGGGTCTTTGGCCTAGAAATGGAAGACACTCCTTGCCCCCCCCCAGATCTGTTTTATCTGTGATTTGATGTTTAAATGGGATAACTCCAGCTTCTCCTCCATGTTGTTTATTTACCATTTTTTGTTGGGTGTGAACTTGGCCGGGACACTTGGAGGTATAGCAGTAAGCACAATCTTAGTCCCCACGGAGAAACATCTGGTAAAAGAAATTACAAGAATGATACAGATTAAAACGGGGAAGGGTAGGTTATTGTGATACCTTGTAAAAGAAACCACTTACCTAGTTTGAGGATGTTTCCACAAGGAAGCAACCTTCAAGTGTAACTTCAAGGAAAGCTCTTTGAGAGGTGAGAGGGTAGTAAATTTAGGATTCTAAAAACTGTAGGATGGTTGGAGCAAGAACCCAGGAGAGGTGGCAGCTTGTGGGATTGGAGAACTTCCTGGGATGGGAGAACTTCCTGGGATCAGGATATAAGAGGGCATTATAAGCAAGATAAAGAAATCATATTTGGTCTTAGGATAATGAGGTTGTGGGCTTCATAGTGACATGATCAGATTTGTGCTTTTAAAATTCAGTTAGGAATTCAGTGTAGACTTGATGGATTGGGGGGAACAATTCTAGAGACAAGAACACAAGTCACTGAAATTGTATAAATTGTCAATGATGGTAGCTTGGACCAAGAGAATATAAATAAGAGATAGGCAGACAAAATATTTAGAATGGGAAGGATTTGGTGACTCATTTGCACATGGAGTAAAGATCTGTGTGTTTCTTGACTGAGTCTTTGGTAGATATTGATGCATTTCCTGAAATGAGGACACTGGTGGAATAGCAGGCTGGTTCCTCAGGAGCATCTGTTTCTTGAACCATGCATTGTTCAGAGCCCTTCCCTCAAATGACTTAGGATTTTAATGACTTTTTAAACCAAATGTAAACTACTATTGGAGAAAAGTTGTCAATATGATTACAGCTGTGATAAAAATGAATAATAATACAATGCATATAAGAAGGACATCTGGCCAGGCGTATGTAATCCCAGTGTCTTGGGAGCCTGAGGATCACAAGTTCAAAGCCAGCCTCAGCAAAATTGAGGCACTAAGCAACTTGGTGAGACTGTCTCTAAATAAAATACAATATGGGGATGTGGCTCAATGGTCAAGTGCCCTTGATTTCAATTCCTGGTACCCCGCCCCAAAAAAAGGACAACTGACCAGTTATGGGGAAGATGATTTCGTAAGAAAATTCAAAATTACATGGAAAGAGCTTACAAGGTCAGGAGCTCTCGAGAGAAGCATCTTGTAGCCTGTGTTAACCAAATAAAAATGGCTAGTGTGTGGAATTCTGGGAGCAAAGAGGAAAGTGATACATGGAGAGGTTCATGAGGAAGGGATCATGTGATGGAATCTGGACTTTATCCTGACAACAAGAGGCAGCCCGAGAGGGTTTTAAAGTAGGAGATCACTCGGGGTTAAATCATTCAACACTGTGAAGTTGTTCTGTGATTCCAAAGGTCCTATCATTCTGTTGCCATAACAAAATACCTGAGATTAGATAGTTTACAAAGAATATATACCTGTGACTCACAGAAGCTATGGAATTTGCATCTAGTGAAGGCCTTCTTGCTGTGTTACATCAGGGTAAAGGACATCATACAGTGAGACAGACCAAGCTTGTTAGCTTGTGTCTCCCTTCTTATAAAGCCACTGATATCAGGAGATGGGGCACTCATAGTGATATCATTAACATAGAATTTTAAAGATGAAATTTCCAATGCATGAACTTTTTTGGGGCACGTATTGGATATTCTACTCATTCTCTATAGGACAAAGGGGGACCTGTTTCTTATACACTAGCAGCACTCATTTTGTTCCCAGTGATAGAAACTCAACTAAAGCCCTCACTGGCAGCAAGGGTACGGACTGGGAGTCTCTCTGCAATTCAAATCTTCCCTAGGATGTTAATCTGGTAAGCCTGCACCTACAGTTACTCCAATTTTCCACTGGATACAGTCGTCAGCAGTAGACTTAACTGCTCTCTTTGGAGCAGAAGGCTGACACTCCCCAGGTCTACTACCTCTGATAGAGCTACTGCTTAGCCACTGGCCTCTGCTTCTCCCCCCTGTAATCCAGAAGCTTTGTTTTTTTTTTTGGGGGGGGGAGTGTACTGGAATTGAACTCAGGTGTACTCAATCACTGAGCCACATCCTCAACTCTATTTTATATTTTAGAGACAGGGTCTTACTCAGTTGCCTAGCACCTTGCTTTTGCTGAAGCTGGCTTTGAACTAGCAATCCTCCTGCCTCAGCCTCCCGAACCTCTGGGATTATAAGCATGCACCACCATGCCTTCTTGATCAATGGCAGCTGTTACCACCCAGGTGGCAGTGGATGGTAATAGGAGTTGAATTCCTAAAGGGTAGCTGCTTTTTTTCCTTCAAGCTAGCCCAGTGGACCTGATTGTCTAAGAATCTGGAAGTACCAGTAGCTTAATGACAACACACTGTGAAAGCTCTTCTATCCTTCATTTGGAGGCCTCTAAACACATTTGTCCTTGTCCTCTTACCCCACCACTATTTAAACCTTCTCCTAGTTAGCTATCAGTCCCGAGGTTCAACTCACCTCCACTAAGTTCATGAACCAATAGACACAGTGCATGGCAGAGTAGCCCTTCAGTAAGTGTTCAGGGTTTTGAGCTTAGTTTGGCCGGGGATGTTGGGGTAAGAAGACCATATTACTGAGAGTGGGGAAAAAAAAAGTTAAAAGACTATGGCTGCCTAATATTTAAACAAGCTTTTCACTGTTTAAACTAGAGCATTTTTCTGCCCAATGCAGAAACTCAACAGAAACAGGTTTACAATCTAGCATTGGACTTCCATATGGCTGAGTGTGACAAATGATGTAATTTGTCACAGATATGCTAGTCACCAACAGAATGATGAATGGTTCCAAATGCAGGTTGAAAACACCAGTTTCTCTGCTTTTCAATACGTACAGGGTTTTTTTGTTGTTTTTTGTTTTTAAAGTTACCAGACTTATAGGCCTGCTAAGGGAAAAGGGTGTAGACCTTGATGGGAAGAAGATGGGAATTTTTACTGGCAGCTATGGAACAACTGTTTCTCATTACCTCCAAATTTGGCATTGCTTTTCAGGAGTGGCCGGAGTGGATACCCTTCAATGAGTCCACTCTCCCCCCAGGAAATATTCCAGTTGGCTTGTATGGACCCAACAGAGGATGGACAATTCCAGGAACAGCAATCTCTGGTGAATGAACGAGTTACATGATCTCAAAAATACTTTCTTGGTTTCCTGATCCCTCCAACTCTTATTTTCAAATTTTATTTCGTAGCCATGATCCATCATGAAAACCCCTTTTGGTAGTCTAACCAGTTTCCCTGGGAGTTTCCTATTTCAACAGCCTAGATTTTCATGTTTTCTAAGAATATTCTGTCTTCAGGTTTTACAGTCTCAGAGGTCCCTTCACTACTACAGGAACTCATGTTGCCCTCTTAGTTTATGTCCTTGATCATCAAATATAGGTGGCAAAAGTCATGTAAAATCTTGCCTCTGATAGAGTGGCACCTGCCATGTGGCATAGTGTACCAAGAACTGCTTGTAAGAACACAAAAATGCCCCTGCCAGCTCTCAGTGGCTAGCTTTCGGCCAGGAGGAGGCACAGAAGACTTTACCACCTCTGCGTGGGTTCAAGCAAGTGGATCCACAATTCTACAAGGTCAAATACAGGCTCTTAAAGTCATTTTCCTGAACCCAAAATGAGTTTTTCATTAGCGTTGATGGTGAAATTTCTGAGAGGTCTACTGGGCCAAGTTAAAGTTTGAAGAAAGGCAGACTAATGTTTTGGCTTTGCTAACACAAAGCTACAAGGTGATTCCTAAAGCTAATCAACTTTACCATTATTCCTAGTTCAGGAGCAGTGAGCTCAAGTTCCCTCCCAAGCTTAATTGGACTGGAGAGGAAATGAAAAAACCCAGCCTTTGCAAAAGTCTGTATAGACAGCTAGTACTGAGTGAGTTCCATATCACTTTGATTCATCTGTGGTTCTTTTTTTCTCCTGACTCCTCTCTGCTCTACTGTATATCTCAGAGCCATCCTGAACAGATATCCCTCAGAGGGAGCAAACCCTTCAGTAGCTCAAACAAATGTGTGATTCTGTCCTTTGGGATTGCTGAGGCTTGGGGTGGGGAACACCTCTAGGCCAGAAGTCTCTGGCGCATGAGTAATTTACCCAAGGGTGTCTGTGAGGTGGGTAGAATTTCTTGGAATAATTCTGTCTTCCCCTCTGAGAAACTTAACATCAAAGCCTAGGGACTAATGGGTCCAGGTAATTTGATTCTTAAAAGGGTCTCACAGCATTTTACAGCTTGCTTGCCTGGTGATATGTCTGGTAAGAAAAATTTCCATGAGACTTTATTACCTCATTTCTGTGGGTTTCTCCAGGGCTGAGCTGTAGTGCCAGGACTTTCTGGATGTGCGTTCATCTCGTTGTCAGTGATGGTGTTTGTAATTTAATTCAGGTGTCAGCTGTGCTACACACTCACCACTGTGTACTTCTGCACATCCTGAGGCGTGGCCATAATTTGTGCGTGTGCATATGGAGTGTGTCTCACACCACCTCTGACACCTGTACCCTGCAGTGTTGTTACCACGTCTGTTTGGAGTCGGAACCATGTGCCATATAGAGCATGTATCGCAAACACTAGTTTTCTCAAGTGCACATATCACGTTCCTGGTAAGGCACGCCAGAAATCACTGAGGAGAGTTCCCAGGTGCCTCTTCCTTTGGACAATACCCTGATACTCTTAGGATGTTGTTTTCTAAATATAAAAAAGCTTTTTTTAAAAAAATAATCTCCATATGCCCTAGATGTTCTTAGATCTCTTCTGGGTGGCCCATGTATGCATCTCTAAGGCAGCTCTGTTCTCAAGTGTCGCTGCATAGCTGTCTTTCTAGAGCAAGCACAACTGCCACACTGATGACCTTTGATCAGAAAATTAACAAAGGAGTTTGACAGGGACATAAAGCTAACCATCTAACACTCCAGAGGGGCACAATCCAATACATGTGGTACTTAGCCCTTGCAGAGTCCAAATAAAATGTAAAATTCCAACAACTACATAAGTAGCTTGCATTATATTTCTATTAAATGACGCTAGTTAAGAGCATCCCTGACCGGGGGGGGGCACCTGTCACATTTGGGATGGTTTTAATCACAAGAAAACTCTTGTATAATGAAATATACATTTGATATCAGAGTAATTTCCCTTACAATTTAACAAAAATTCTCTTCAGATTTAAACAAATCGAACAGTAACACCTCTCAAAGTAAACTTCACATTTCATAATGCCATAATATCTGCTTAGCAATTGGTCTTTACCTTTCAATCCCAGTTAGAATTTTGGGACATCTGGTATATGTACACACATACACAACTGAGACCTTCAAGATGCCAGTCTCCCTTCTGGAGGCAGAATCATCTCCTGGAGGTGAGAAGCAATGAGATGGAACCAAGTCCCACAAGCTTGGCTGTGTGTTTATTTCTAGGAGCCAGAGGTTAGTGAAATAAAAAGCGTGCAGTCCTCTAACCATGGCATCTGCCTTCCTTCGGACACCCAGGAGCGTGCGGGATCGGGGAGGGCATCCTCTATGCCACGTCTGACCGTGGATCCCCAGGTAAAAAGCAACCACCAGGTATCTTATGCAGTGGCATCCCAGGCTGTATTAGGTGGTGATGACACACCTGATGTTTTCAGGTGAGCCTGAACTTGCTCCCATCCCTTCTATGAGAGCCTGCTCCTCCACTGTTTTCAGTGAGCCCCTAAACACAATAGCCTAGACAACAAAATGGCATAACTTCCCCCAGGGGACTAAGCATTCTCAAGACTTAAGCAGCCAAGCAAGAAAGATCTTCCAGGATTTTCTGTATATTTCCCCCCAAGCACACATGCATTACTTACACACAGCTGTATGTCAGAACTGTCTTAGCCAGTGCAGGCCACGCCTCATTTCTTTGTCTGTTTTCCTGGCTTCTTTTTTCTGTCTGTCTGTCGTACATCAGGTTTTGACAGAGACAAGAAGTTTTGGTGGATCTGTTTTGACATCTGTGGTTGAAGGTGGGCTGGTTAAGAGGGAGAGTGGAGCTTTCTTGGTTGTTAAATTTCAAGCTTTTCTGGGCTCCTGTGCTACAGGGCAGGGCCTTCTGTACACGGGCAAAACTGTATTCCTTCCAGACTTGGCCTTTTTGACAAAGGCCCTCATGTATTTCCAAGGGCTCAGGGCCTGCCCAGTTTTGCCTGGTGTACCCAGGTGCTCACATTCTTGAGCACGAAGAGAAGATCCTGGGCCAGTTTCAGTGACTATGTTAACATAATCAGGGCACTTTCTTGAGCAGCCTCTCTAGCTAAAGTCTGAGTATGTGGGATTGGGAGTGAAGGGAGGCTAGATTTCCAGAGTGCATAACTTGCTGTTCTCGACAGTCTACATTCCACTGCTGGACATTTAGCCCCCTTCAATAACTAATCCCATTCTGTATTCCTCTGGGGATTCAAATTTCCAGGTGGTGACAGACCCCAGCTCCATGAGACGTTCATTTTCTACTATTCGGGATAAGCGTTCAAATTCCTCATGGTTAGAGGAATTTTCCATGGAACGAAGCAGTGAGAACACCTACAAGTCTCGTCGCAGGAGTTACCACTCCTCCCTGCGGCTGTCAGCCCACCGCCTGAACTCCGACTCAGGTGAGGGGGTCTTCAGCATGGCCCCTCTCGTCACACAGCTGGCTGGGCTGTGGGCTCCTATCCCGATGGGCTTAGTCTGGCAAGGACCACAGATGACTGGAACAGAATTCAGAGGGAAGGGTGCTCCCATGACTGACTTAACATCTTGAAGCAGGCCAAAGCCTTCTGTATTCATCATAAATGCCCATGTAGTTCCTTCTGGAGTAGGGCTGTACAAATCAGTAGAATTGAGGTTTTTCAAGCAACCTTTTGCAAAACCATAGAGCTTCCTTAGGATATATTGGGACCCACATTTGTTAAAACTGCCAACTCCACTTCACCCAAATAGCACCACCTGGAATTGTTTCATGGATTTGGGTTTAAAGTTTTTTTTCCCCTCTCAAAATGGGAAAAACATGGAAAAAAAAAAGTATTAGTCTAATTCAATCTATTTTAGTAGAGGAAAGAACCAGTTGAAAAATAGTGACTTGCCCAATCTCGTGGCGACTAGACCTGAGATCCTTTAACTTCAACCCCAGGGTTCTCACCCTGGTGTCATCATTTCATTCATAGAATCTTCTCCATTCCCTTCTGTTCAGTGCTATCTTTCCCCACAAAAGCTACACACTCATGTATAGGACAAAGAGAATTCTTGAGCCATATTTTTGGCAAAGATTCTATCTTTAGCATAAATTGAAGGAAGAGAACAGATTGCATTCTTGACATACATGTCCTTCTAGTGGCAATGTGCGGACTTACCTCCTCACAAAAGGGTCATTTTCTAGCATTTCTCTCCTACTTCCTTTGAGATCATCTTTTGAAGATGAAGATCTGGTGTCTAGTTAGGGCCTTCTCACAGGATGGAGAGTGGGCCCTTATCCCATCATGAGGGCTCCACTCTAACACTGTCCCTTGGGGACATAAACATGCAGTTCATGGCTGAGTTGTAACACCAAATGAAAATCCAACTTTAGGGGCCAGAGTAAACTGAGATATAACTAATTTTGTCACCTTTTACAGGTCACAAGTCTGACACCCACCGCTCAGGGGGCAGGGAGCGGGGACGATCGAAAGAACGAAAGCATCTTCTCTCTCCTGATGTCTCCCGCTGCAATTCTGAGGAGCGAGGGACCCAAGCCGACTGGGAGTCCCCAGAGCGCCGTCAGTCCAGATCCCCCAGTGAGGGCAGATCACAGACCCCCAACAGACAGGTGAGCTCAGAAGGCAAGTTGAGCCTTTGGCAGGACAGAGAGAAGGGTTCTGACAGAAGGAGCAGAACACGGTCATCGCACGCCCTCAGCGACCCGAGTTTCCCAGAAAACAGCAGCATAGAGGCTAGCTGCTTTCTGCTTCTATGCTCAGAGATGATGTGAATTCACAGAAAACCAGATTTCTCCCCTAAGAAAGATGGTAGTGGCCAGAGGTCCTGTCCTCAGAATCCAGGTGTTTGGGAACAAAGGGTAGTCCTTAAGTCAGAGCAATTAAGAATTATTTACCTACTGTCCAGCCATCCTAAGCGGGGAACCACATCTCCTCTGGCTTTTCACTGAAACCTGATCTACATCTAATAAATAGCAGCTGTATGAAAACTTTCTGACCCAGTATCAACCCTCACTCCCAGCCATAGTTCTCCTCAATGCTCTTTGAGCCCAGATGCAGTCGGCGAGAAGGAACTAAGGCAGATTTTGAGAGTTATGGGTAGTTTGCCTTTTAGAATGTTTTTCAAATTTCACTGTAGAACAGAATCACCTGTGGAGTTTGCTATCATCACACATTCCCAGGACCCAGAAGATTCTAGTGAGACCCAAATCAGTATTTGAAACTATCAGATGGTTCTTAGGTCACGTACACATTGAGCAGTACTGTGCTGGCATCCACTCAATATGCCGGCTCTAGTACTCTTGGGAATACGCAAGGATGTCATGAAGGACTGAACCAATGATGTGTGGCTACAGGATTTGAGGACAGCAAGGGAAGGAAGTTGATTCCCTTAGAACCCACTTTCCAAAAAGTTTACCAGGCAGAGCAACTTCCAGTGTTCCTTCATCTTTCACTGAGTTGTATCTTTTTCTCAGGGCTGCCCCTGGAACTTATCCCCAGAGAATTGTTGCACGTTGAAAGTTGAGATGTCTAGGTGGTATGTCCCTGAGGGATGTGCATGGTACAGGGGACTCCCTCCTCAAACATTAGACTCCAAGGGCTCTCTGGAGAAGGGGTTAGGGACCTTAGCAGGGCCCCAAGTGGTGATCAGTCTAATATGCCATGTTTCTCTTGCTGTGTAGGGCACCGGGTCCCTGAGTGAGAGCTCCATCCCCTCCATCTCTGACACCAGCACCCCAAGACGAAGTCGGCGGCAGCTTCCACCCGTCCCACCAAAGCCTCGGCCCTTGCTTTCCTACAGTTCCCTGCTGCGACACGCTGGAAGCATCTCTCCCCCTGCCGATGGAAGTGAGGGCGGATCTCCTCTGACCTCCCAAGCCCTGGAGAGCAGCAATGTTTGCCTGGCCGAGTCTTCCAACTCCCCACACCCCCAGCAGGGCCAGCATTCTTCCCCACAGCGCTACATCTCCGAGCCCTACCTGGCCCTGCACGAAGACTCCCATGCCTCAGACTGCGGCGAGGAGGAGACACTCACCTTTGAAGCAGCTGTGGCTACTAGCCTGGGCCGTTCCAACACCATCGGCTCAGCCCCTCCCCTACGGCACAGCTGGCAGATGCCCAATGGGCACTATCGGCGACGGAGGCGTGGGGGGCCTGGGCCCGGCATGATGTGTGGAGCCGTCAGCGACCTCCTGAGTGACACAGAAGAAGATGACAAATGCTAGAGGCTGTTCCCCCCTCCGATGCATGCTCTTCTCTCACAGGGAGAAAACCAAGACTGAATTGGGAAGCCCGTGCGGCCCCGGGGGGGAGGAAAAGGGAGAAGGAAGATGCGTACATTAGCAGAAGAGGAAGTAAAGGACAAATGGAAAAGCAGTCAAACCCACCAAACCGCTTTATTTCCCTTTGCAAGATGGGCACTGCCATAGTTCTGCCTCTTTGCTGGGGAAAGAAAGTACAGGAATATGGAGGGTTAGGCCCATGGAAGAAGGGACATGAGGGTGGCTTGCCTTCCCTGGCCCCTTCCCACCTTTCTATAAGCCCAGCAGGGATCTGGCTGGCCTGTGTCTACACTCATTGCCTTGTGCAGACTGTAAATGGGGATCAGTGGAGACCGAAGGAGACCAATCTCCTCCCCACGACTGCCAGCAGGGAAACTGCAGCAGCACCTCACACACTAGCCTGTGGCTGGCTTCCCCCTGAGAAGCACAAGCCGAGTCAGGAGCATTGGCTGCCCAAGGAAGGAGGCAGGAAGGGAGGGCGGAATAGTTCAGGGTGCTGTGGCAGCCGAATGGGCTGGTCTGGGTGAGAAAAGCCATAGCCCAGCAGCCCGTATCATGGAGGTGAGGGCCAGAGAAAGGACTGGAGGTGCTGGTAGGTACAGTCCTAGATCCTGAGGCCTGTTATCCATGTGTAGGTGCTGTGGTAGTGAGAAAAGGTGAAGAGGTCCCTCAGGGACCACAACCGTGTCTGCAGCTCCGGTAAGGGTGATGTTAAACAACACCTATGGCCAGGCACCAACCTAGGTCAAGTTCAGCCACAGTGTGGGAGCCCATGCTGTCCCCCGCAATGGCTCTTTAGATGCTGGTTGGGGAAAACCCTAGGGTGGAGGTAGGGACCTAGGGACTCAGTTTATTTTCCAACCAGCATAGGCATAACTTCATATTGGGAACAGTGCTACAGCCATACCAGCACAGCCTGGTTGGAGGCCAGTATTGAACCTATGTGCCAGACAGTCTTTCCTCCCACTTCCCCAAGAACCACCCTCACCCACTAGGGACTTCTATAAGGATGGAAAGGCTGATAGACTAAAATGAGAAGTGTCAGTTGATCAGGATGTTTATGGTGATTAGTAAATATACCTCAGCTTCAACCTTGGCTGCTCCTTCTAGCAAAGTAGGCTCTGATGATGGGGTCCCCCCAAGCCCTGAATGTTCCCTGGACCAGGGCTGGGCTTTACCCTTCCCCAGAGTAAAAGCTGGGCAGAAGACAGCCTTTAGCCACGATGTCATTCCCAACCTTCCATACACAGATGCATCGAGAGAGAAGCTTGGCCTGTCAGTGTTCCTTCAGCATACGCTTGATTGCTGCAGTCCACGGAACAGGTCCTGTCCATCTGGTGGAGATGCACCAGGCCCTTAAGCCTCTCCAAAGTGCCATCACAGCAGGTGAATGACTATTCTGGAGGGGGTGTCAGGCAGGGCCTTCCTTAGGGAGACTTGAGGACCCCTGTAGTGGGAGCTCAGTGGATAAACACTTACTTCATCCCCCTTCAGACAGAGTCCCTAGGACTCTTAGGTATGAAAAGTCCTTTTTCTTAGAAGGAGCTTCTCCTTTCTTGTGAAGTTGTTTCTTTTCTTCCCACTGCTGGGTTGAATAGAAATAAAGCATAGCCACAGTTGAACTAACAAGCCAAATTCAACCAGTGGCTGGAGAATCACTTGGGCTAGGCCTGCCTGCTCTTCTAGGTGATGATGGAGCTTCCTGACTCATGGTCAGACCCAAACCAAAGTAGTCCCAGGACAGGGGGCCAATGAGACAGATACCAAGGCTTCCCACTTATAGACCCTCTTCCAGCTTTGCCAGTTTTCTTCTCCCACTCAGCACATGTGTGCTTGGGGACAGCTGGGAATGTGATCCTAATGGGTGTGCTCGTGACATGAGACTCTCATGCTGGGCCCTGTATAGTTTCAAAGGTTCTCTCTGCTCAGCCTCACTCCATGCCAATGTGCTGCTGTGGGCTGCCTTGTGTGCACAAAACTGCTTTCCTCACCCCAGACGGCAGCTTTCCTTAAGGAAAGCCTACAACAGGGTGGCCATTCTAGCTAGCAAGTGTCGATAGTTTATACCATTTCAACAGTCCTAGAAATGTGGGCTGACAGAGTAATTGTCAGTAATGGAATTTGCAAACAATAATTCTGCACACCGAGTTCCTGAATAAAGCACTGTTAAGTTATGAAGTGCTATAGGTGTGGTCACCTGACCACTTGTTTTTGTTTTTTAATACTAATGAAATTATGAACTTGCTTCTTTCATTGAACATCCCCTAAACAAGAAACCAGCTTTTTCCCCCCTTAGCCTGCACTTACCCTTCTATTAAGACCAGAAAATGAAAGAGGATTTTCTGGTAAGTCATGATCTCATAATCATCATCTTTGGTTTCCTCCTGCCTCAATATAAACAGGAATGCCACCCTTCCCCCTTGAAGCCATTGAGGACTTCCCTTCCTACATCTCAGATTTTCTTTCCCTTGAGAGGAATCTCCCTTAGACTCGAAAGCCCATGCTTCTCTTGTATTAAGCACCACAGTTGCATCTTGTGATATGCCGCATGATAAATCTGGGCACTGGAGGTTCCTTCCGAAGATTCTTTAGCCAGATGTCCAACTACTCTTGCTAATGTTAGTCTTCACCATCTCCTCAAAACAAGGAGAGGAAGAGGAGAATAAATCAAGGTAGGGAGATGCTATCACCAGGTGTGTATTTATCCCTCTCTTCACTCAAGGCTCTGAACAGTCAGGTGGGGAATGCACACCACCAGCAACCCTCAAAAGCTTGTAACCAGGCGCCCTGTGAGCCAGGGTTGGCAAAGAATCACCTGGCCTGTGGAGGGATGGTGCCCTGAGCATCCTCCAGGCTCCAAAGGTGCATGATGACAACTACCCACAGCAGCGGGTGTTGGGGGTGCTGTTCTACTCTTCCAGCTGAAGAAGCTATTTCTATTCCTGGCATCTCTTCTCACCATCCCCATACTGTACTGAGGGCACTGAAAAACATTTTCCTGAAGCTGACCCCCAAGCCTTCTAAATTTTGCCCTCCTTTGACTCTGTGGCCAGAAAGAGAAGACTTTTCCCCTTCCCTACACACATCCCTGACCCCCCCACTGAGCCCACATCTCCTGTAACTTCCCATCCCCACCTTGGTTTTGCTGCCTCTTAGCCATCTTAGGATTGGGTCTGTGCTGAATCCAGCCAAGCCAAGGGTTTGCTGGCCTGACTGCCTCTACCATTAGAGAATGTTGTCTTCTAATGAAGTAAGTCCTGGGACTTACAAGGTGATCTTCATGGGGCCATCAGAGGTAGGCTGTAAGGTGTGCATGAAATGTTTTCATACTTGATGAATAATTACTGCAGAGAAGGCTCTTGGCATAGCAGGACCGCATTTACAAAAAAAAAAAATTAAGTAGGAAGTTCTTAACATTTCATTACATCCTATTTCTAAAGCCTGCTGTGGATATTTTGGTTTTGGACAGAGTAGTCCTTTAGTGGATAGAGCTAGGGGTGATTTGAGAGATTCATTTCTGAGCTGTTATAATATTGAAATACTGTGAGGCTGTGTGTAAAGGGTAAACATAACAGAAGGGAAGCAGATAGTCTCACAAAAATCTCTGCCTAATGGGAGACTTGAAAGTTAAAGAACTTTCACTGCTTTGTTGTTGATTGGTATCTTACCAGTCTTGTTTTGATCCTTCAAAGGCCCAAGGCTGGCACATACCAAGAATCCTGGTGAGGATTATTCCCAGCAGATGCCTCATCTAGCTATAGGACAGGCTGGATTCTAGAGGACTGAGCATGGTCCAGGGAAAGGACAGGACTTTACAATGTGGGAAAGGAAAAAGATTGGGCCCTTCACTAGTGGCCAGAGCATACCAGGTTTGGATATCTTTACATATATCCATGATGAGATGGATAAATGAACAAAATGTAAACAAAATTAACTGAGGGGTTATGACCTTACTTTTGCCATGAGGTGATCAAAGGAGATGCTATATTAATAATCACTGCCTGTACCAGGAGCTTTTATTGTTGTTTTCCCTGAATCACCCCATACATCTTACCCAGTACTACCCCAAGTAGAGCAGCCATTAATGACTTCTCTGCTGGCCACAGACTACTAGGGTGGTCAGTCATCATATGCTGCAACTCACCCAGAGTACATGGATGTACTTCAGGGGAGGACAAAGGACTAGGAACAGAAAGAACTACCTTTAGTTTATGGTGGCCATCTTTTCCTTTACTTGAATCCTCTTTTGTACTTTGACTTTCTAGGGTTTATGCATCCCTAAAAAGTCATACCAAGCCAAAAAGAAGAGAGACTTACAGATTGTCCTGACCTTTCCAAAGGGCCTTGAAAAATATAGTCTGGATAAAATTCAAGCCAGTTGGTTGAGAAGTACTAATGGGGCTCCCAGCAAAGTGTAATGGGATGGCTGCTGAGGTACCCCAATGTCCTTCTATTTTTGTATTCTTCCTTCTATTCATCCCTTCCTACCATGCTATAAGTAGGAAGGTTAGTATCTTGACCTGCTAAATGCAAAAAGACTTTACAATAAGCCATGCTACTATGTAAATACATTCTTGAGGTTTGAATTCTTATTTCTGGAAGTATGAAAGAGTTAAGCAGATGAGGTAGAGAGGTGTAGAGATTTATGTTCATTTTTATCTGTTTGGGGTTTTTTGGTTGCCTGAGTTTTTTTATAACAGACCTGCCCTAGAATAGCAAAGAAAGAAATTTGTACTCTGCAGTGTTATGAATCTCTGCCAAATTAATGCTATCACAGTTGAGCCTAATCTGAGGTTATAGTACCAGCTCTGTCTTTTCCTCTGGTCTCCTTGTCCTTTTGTCTCAGTAAGTTGACCTCTGATTTCTCTTTCTAGAGACTTAAAATATAAGTGAAAATCTTCCCCTCTCCAAAAATCAGTAAAAGCCAAGGAAATAAAGTGGTTAAAGATGTCTGAAAAAAAACTCCAACAAAACAAAGTTTATGTCTTGATTATTTTTTAAACTGTAGTAATCTGATAAATGAAAATTATAGTCAAAATAATAAATTATACTACAGCCTTCTATACTAATTTGTGCCTTCAGCTAGAGTATTATGTGTGTTCTCTTTCCCTTGTTAGGAAAATTGAAATAGTAACACTTGGCTATTTCGTGGGTGTGTCAAGTGTTTATAAGTTAATAATATACAATGTAAAGCACTTAGTCTCCACAAGTCAAAAAACCCTTTACTCATTATTTCCTCAAGGACCTCAGAAACTCTTGGTGTCACTATAAGAATCTTGTTTTTAACCTGAATCTATTCTTCTTACCTGGCCCCCCACACGCTTCTAAGAAAAAAGTTCAGATTTTTCCTTTAATCCAGGAAGGAAATTGAATTTTCCCTCTGCAAGCTTCCCTGTATGGTCTTCTCTTTGTGGACACTGAGGCAAAACCAACATTGAGTGACCTCATCCAGACATCTCCAACCTGGCACTGGAAATCGGAATGAATCTTTCCTTTTTTTTGTTCTGCAAGTTTCAGAGATAAGAATGGCTTCCTGTATATTCTGGAAACAGATCCTTGAACTTGTGCCAGTTAGTTCCATGTTTCCTCTTTGGTTTGCTCAGAGGATGGCTCCAAAATTGAAAAGGAGACTAAATTGGTCATGTCTGAATTCGACCTTATTTGATGACTCAATTCTTTTCTTTCCATTATTTTGTTCTCTCATGGCAATGGCCTATACTGCACAAGAACCACCACTTAAAGCAAGTCTATTAGAAATAGACTTTGCTCACCCCTATTGTAAGGGGTGAGCAAAACAAAACATACTCCAAAATTTTAAAGTGCCATTAATCAATTTTTAAAAATAAAGGTAACATGAAATGAGGGCTAAACAATGTAATCTAACTGCCAATTGAAGTAGTTCTGGTCTTAGTTACATTTGATACAGAGTTGTATAACATTAAGCAGATCCAGTGGATTTAGTAAAAACACAGGTATTGAATTTTAATGGCTACCATTGGGGATATATACTTAGCCTGCAGGCTGAACTTTAGTCAGTGTTTTTCTATCCTGGTGTTTTGTGAACAAGCCAAAATTTATACAAAGCCACCCTAAGTGCTGCAATTACAGAGGAACTTCCCCCTTAGTGACATTGGAGAGCAGTCCAAGTCCACTCAAAGTGAGTCCAAGATTTGGAACACACTCAGAATAACAAACGAAGGAGAAACATTTAATGCACCAAGACTGGTTGGCATTTCATTGCTGGGACAACTGGGTAGAGAGTAGGAAGACAATCTATAGAACAAAGACAAGATGAGGCAGAAGATACTAGTAAGTTCCAGAAGAGAATAGGCTTAGAGATGTATGGCCTTGAAAGGGATCCTCCCTTTCACTTAGATTGTGGGTAAACTCATCAGCACAATACTGGATTCAGAGAGTCCTTTCTGTTAAATTCATGTACGGTAGCAAACTTGAAACTTCAGAGGATTAGTAGATTCCTGAAAATCTTTTCCTGACCTGAAAGATGGAGAGAAAAGAGTCTCTTGCTTTAAAGCAGCCCAAAGACAATCTAGGATTTCAGCAACTCTTCAGTATAGTAGCACCAATAATGGAGAGATTACATTAAACTTCAGATACAAGCACCACAGGAGAGGAGAAGAGTTGGTCAATAGGACAGGGGATGAGTCTGATTAGGAAGAAATTTCAAATTGCAAGGTGCACCGGTACTAACCTCAAAGGATAACACTGCAAGTGGGTGGACTACAGGGTGTCCAGTCCCCACCCTCTGTCCTTTGGGACCCAAGGCCAGGCCATTCCCTCCTTGATTTGCTCTTAAAGGATGAACATGTAAGATGGGATCAAGAGGGAAATTGGGTGCTCTTATTCAGGCTGTAAAAACGCTGCCACCTTCATTATAAGACACACGCAAGTTAAGCCCCCTAAGACACTCCTTGCGGGCAGCATCCACTGAGGTGTGCCAGCCTGACACTCCTGCAGTAACAGTGACTGAATGGCAGCTAATGCTGGCCCACCCCGAGTATCGGTGCATCTCGCCTAAAGCCAGAGTTCAGCACTGCATGTTGATCAGGTGGAGATCCTGAAATATAAATGCTCGTTTGGATCCAAAAGGAAAACCATTAAAAAAATAAAAGAAAGATGAACAACTTTAATGTTTTGGGGGGGGGTCAAATAAATAAAATCTTGTTGTAAAGAATCAATCAGCCTGATTTACTTCACTTGTGTCTTTGCTTCTACTGAAAGAAGAGATCATGGGAATGAAGCCTGGCCAGGACTCGGGGTAAGTGGGACACAGGCTCTCAGTTCCTATAGGATGAGGTCTGCTGGGCTCGGGTAGTTATGAGGAATTACAGATGTTCTCAGCATTCCAAGGATGTCCTGGTCCTGAAAAGTTTGGGGAGGGGGAGCAGTACTCCACATAAACTGGTTTGCCCAAAATGTTGAACATTTTCTGATCAGGACAATATTCTCCCCAGGTGAGGAATTTAACAAAGTAGAGGATTTTATGGAACCACGGGGCTTTGTGACTAGAAAGAAACACTATAGCCAGCTTCCTCTGGGAGGGCGGGAGGGGATTACAAGACACCAGCTTAGCTGCCAAGTTCAGGAAGAATATGACTCTCAGAAGACACTGTCATTCTTTCCTTGGCTTATATCACTCCTGACTGCACTAGATTTCTGAATGATGGGAAAGGCACAAGCCCTGGGACATGGGCCCTACTGGATTCTCCATGCTGAGAATACCTGTTTGCTTCATTTTTCTGGAGGAAACATTTTCTTCTACTGTGGAGTTTATTGTTTTAACCTGAGTAATTCTTTTTTGTTACATAGAAACCGGCATTCTAGGAGAAGTTCCTGTAATTTGGTCAAAGATAGCTTTTCAAGTTCTAATATGTACAATTTTTTAGGTAAGATTTTTCTCATGGCCAAAACCATTAAAAATGTATAGCCATCTTTCAGGAAGATCAAGGTCCTTGGATGCCAGATTGGATCTCTTAAGTTTTAGATTTTGTGTCATTCTCCAGTCATTTATTTCTTTCCCATGGCTTTTTATCACCCCCTGTATTAGAAGATAGAATTTGACAGCCTAGAGCTTCATACTTTTATAAAACAAGTTGGTTTCTTGGGCAAAGAGGTCTGAATTGGTGATTTTTCTTTTTTTCTGATTTCCTTCTAAACTAAAACTCAGGCCCCACATCCTTCCATAGGCTAATGACACTAGGAAACGCATATACATTATTGTGACTTTCTATCAAGATTCTGTAATATAATCTGAATATTTGCCTTTATACAGTATGTCCCTAAACCTTATATATTGCCTCTGGGATAGTATAAACTTGCCTTTACTTGTATGCCACATTATTTTGCTAATGAGCTGGGAAATTTTCCCCAACTGAAGACCAATATGTCAATTTCTTAAACATTTTAAACAAAAAAAATATTGGAACTAGGCAAAGATGCCCAAGACTGAAGAATACCTAAAACATAAGAGGACAGACTGAGTGCAGGCCCTGGGTCAGACCCACCGAGTACAAACCCAGGCACCACTTAATCCACTTCCTGAATTTTTAAAATGAGAACAATAGAAACCACCCCAAAGTGTTGTGTGCAATGAACAAGCTGTTGCATTTGAAGAGGAAAAACAGTTATTGTCCCACATTAGGCATTCAATACATGTCAGGTGTCACCACTGTCATAATGATTGTCAAAGTGCCTCCCCAAACCCACCATATCTGAGGTGCTGAAACCTTTCAGCCACATCCTAACCAGAAGAAAGTCCCCTTCTATTGATGAAACACAAGACGGTTTGATCCTCAGATGGGTTTTTAAGAAAAATGGAAAAAAATAGCTTTAAAAAGCAAGCAAATCCTAACAATATAACTCTATTACACTAATGCCTCCATTCTTGTCTCAGAAACAAGCCCTAATTTGCTTATTCTTTACTTCTAATTTCCATATTCATTTAATAACTAAATGGGAGAAACATTAGTGGGAGATAATAACTATAAAAGTAGCAATAAAGTTAATGGCAACATTAAAAATACTGTACACATATAAACAGCAATATTCAAGGCAATTTGAAATATCAAGTAACTCGCACATTTATGGCACATGTGAATGAACCATAAACTCAGGGTCAATGGCCTGATTTTTACTCCATTTTAAAAAAAGAATAAAGAACCCTCTTTAAAGACCATTCTTAGGTGGTCTGTAAAGAATGATTAGTTCATAAGGCATCAGCTCTGGACATAAATAAATTGGGCAACCCTGGACAGGAGACTGCCAGAGGAATATTCAGGATAGCACAAAACAAAATGATGTGAGGCTGAAGCCAACCACTCTGAGCCCATCCAGGAAGAGGGTTCCCATGATCTTGCCTCAGGACACTGATTCCTCTGCTTCTGCATGCAAAACCACTCGTATGCATAACAAGAAGTAATAACTAAATGATTCTATGACACATAGGAACCACAGAACCCAGACATTCAAACAGGAAGAAGCCTAGTGATCAATTCTGGCCCAATTTATTTCCCATGTGAAGGAATTGAGTTTAGAAAAATTAAATTTTCCAGAGATCAAGGAGGTCTCTTCTTGAGGCGACCTCAGCAACCCTAGCATGACACCAAAAATAAACAAACCTGAGAAGGACCTTTTGCTAATATGTAGAAGACTTTGAATCTCATAGAAGCTAGGGACCTTTCTCCCTTGAAAATGGTGAAACTAAAACCTCAGAGTATGTCTATCTCCCGGCCCCACCGGAGATCCTGTTTATAACCCCTGTAACAATGCAGGGAGATATGTGGGAAACACCAAGCAGAAAATAGTTACTCGCATCAAAGAAAACTCAGAGCTATGACTGTCAGATGGAACTATTCAGACTTGAAAATAGAGGACAGAATCCTGGCTGACTTTGGGGCATATTGGAAACACCACTCTCCTCTGCCCATAGATCAGGTGTCTTGTCATGGATGGGAGTACAGTGCAGATGGCTAGGTTTAGGCACCTCATAAAAATGCAGCTAGTCAATATGCCGCATTAAGTAGACGTGGGTACAAACAATAGCTATCCATTTCATAGTGACCCCAGCCATGTTTCTTAGCCTCTAATTCCTTATTTTCTTAACTGTTTAATTAGGATAGCAAGACCAACTTTGCATTGTGGTATTCAGGATTAAAGGTCACACACACAGAATACCTAGCATGATGCCCATGTAGTAGGCATTCAGAAACAAGTCTGCTATTATGATGAGTACATCCGCCCACTTCCACTCATTCATTAAATAGCATTTATTAATCACTTACTATGATGCCAAGCACTAGAGTCTCAATAATGAATAAGCCAGATAAAGCAGTATCCTCTTGTTGTCCATGTCTTAATAGAAGCTAAAGAAAAAAAAAACAGTACCATAGTGTAATCCTTATTAAAGATGAAGAACTTTCAGGGTACAGGGGAAGCTTGCTGGGATAACCCAGAATGGGAAAGAGGGCACCAAGAAGGGTGTTGGAGGAAGATGCTTGCTCTAGTTCAAAGGTAGAGCTTTGAGAATGCATGCTGAAGGATGAGACTGGAGAGTTAAGGGAAGGTTTATAACCACGTTCAGAATTCAGCCTCCACACCATCACTGTATTGGCAAATGGCAATGACAAGGATTAAATCGTGAGAAGACCAGATACACACATCTTATGTGTAAACTAAATCTGCTTTGCTTACCCAGAGGGTAAAGAAGAAAGCTGTAATAGCAAGGGAAATGACACTCTTCTTCAAGACATAGATGCAAGCTTCCTGCCACTCAATTCTGCAAAAGATGGCACACAGCCACCATAATAGTGTGAGTAACCCTCTGGGGACCTGTCTCTTCCAGGGTCAGCTCACGGACATACACTGAAGCAGTTCTTGGTGTAGGTTCACTTGGAGAAGTGCCATGGAACATCTCAGCTGGTATACTGCATCAGTCTTGAAGTCACACCAGGCCCTCTGTGGTGCCAGGTCTTGTGTAGGGCACAGACTCAGCCTCAGCCTGGAGCACAGTGCTCATTATCATCCTCAGCCTCACCTCCTCCTAAGCCAAGTCAGCCTCTGAGTTCAGTGTTGCAGAACCCCATAGGCTGTTCCCATGGGCCTCTGAGAGCCAAGAGAAGGAGCCCTTTGACCTTGCTCTGTTAACCCTCAGGTGTTATCCTGGGGGCAAGCAGCAGCCATGGAGATGGTTTGAAGCAAAGGGATGACAGAGTCTTATTTTCAAATAAAACAAAAGCATTTGGCTGAAATAAAAGAAATAAATTTGAAAAGGGAGAAACCTGGAGAGCAGGAAAGAGGTGACTGGTGATGAGACAATGGGGATACAAAGAAGTGGACAGAATCAAGAAAGCCATTTAGGGAAGAAATGGATAGGATTTGATGATTGCTTGGAGTGACACACCAACAAATGAATCAGTGATTTCCAACAAGGGAGTTCCCTGAGACATTGTATTAGTTTCCTATTGCTGCTGTAACAAAATACATAGTGGCTTAAAATACCACCAACTTATTGCCTTATAGATCTGGAGGTTAGAGGTCAAAAATCAACTTTGCTAGGCCAAAGTCAAGGTATTAGCAGTTCATAGTTGTGGAGTCTCTGAGGGAGAATTTGTTTTCTTGCCTTTTCCAGCTTTTAGTAGCTGCCTGCATCCCTTGACTTGTGGCCACTTCCTCTATCTTCAAAGTGCATCATCCAGCATCAGATTCATCCCTATATATAGGATGTTGTGACTGCATCTATAATCCACTCATCATTTAGGATAATTTCTTCACTTCTAAATCTTTAACCACATTCACAGTCTCTTTTGACATGTAAAATGATATTTATAAGTTCTGGGATTAGAATTATTTGAGCAATGGAAGCTCCATTTGTTTGTGGCCACTGGGAGTCTTGACCAGAACCTATGAAGTTGTTAAGCATACAAGCTTTTATCCTTCCTGCCCATTCTCTGATGCTGAGAGAATCAAGGGACCCATTGTATGGCAACTTCACATTTCCTTTCATGACATATAGAACCCTGTCACTCACATATTCAGTTTTGGAATATTTCTCATAGAGTAAGCTAAAGAAATCAGGCCAGAATCTCATATTCTAATAAGAAAACCCTCTGATAGATAAATTACAGAAACTTGAATTACATCATTAAAGAGTCATTTGCTTAATTAAAGCACAATAGTGGTC